AGGAAAAATATGAAATAATTAAAAAAAAAAGGAAAAAAATACAACTTGACTTATATCCTTTCTCACTAGAGAACGTAACGTATTTAACATTAGGCTGGTAAGGATTTGGGATTCGAGTTAACAGAAGAATAAAGTGTTCAACCGGCCGGAATAAAAGAAGAATACAATATTTTATTATATAAATAATTTAATTTTCTGCTTGCATAGCTGTTTTTCGGTTTGAAGGGCGCGAGGGTTTGAGGATAGTGATTTTACTGGGTATTGCGACTCAAGACAAGATCTTACGTTCGACGTTACAAGGGTCAGCAACGCGCGAGCGATGCCTTTGATTTTGTATGCGTTCATTGGGCGTGGTGACCGCTTGATATCAGATCTACCATAGGTATGCTAGATCGCTATCCTTAAAAAATAAAAGAAAAAAATAAAAACTTAAAAATATAGCCACTAATTTTCTCTTTCAAGCTAAGAACTATAGCAAAACAATGGAATATTGGTGCAAGTACAAGTTACTAATAAGTACTTAAGTATATATTGTCAATACATCAAAAAATAATATGCTCACGACTATGTCTAATAGGGTAGACAGAGGTATTTGTCGACTGTGGCCACTGTAGTGCAGGTAAGACTAAGTAAGCCCACATTTCGCCGAACATATTTGAATCCAACGTGGCAGGGGGTGAGCTTGCCGCCGTCACTCGGATTAACGTTTGTTACAGGTGTTTAAAAATATATTGGAAGGTTTAAGTCCATGCTTAAACCTTTCTGAGTCGAAAGGAACGAATATCGTTTAACGATTGATTAAAATCAGCTCAATACCGATGAAGATATCATAATATACGCAAGAAAAAAATCTAAATAAGAACCGCATCTTTTTTAAGTCGGTTAAAAAGCATCTCGTTAGACCATAATAATAACAGGATTAAAGATTTTTGTGACGGAAATGTGTATATTTTGATTCGTTTAAAATTATTACACTTTGGGCTCATATATCATAATCAATTACTTATAGAAGCATCGCAAAGTGAAGAGCGAACCAAACTTAATATCAAGTTCAAAATTAGCTTATCCCATGATAACCATATCGTCGAATTAATATAGGCGTGATATTAGACACTTGATGTAACACAATTGAACTGCCGTTATCTGTAATTCCGAAATTTAATTTAATATTTCCGAAAAAATATGCTCAATATTCACTTTGGATCATGTGTCGCACCATAAAATTCGCTAAACATCGATAACACTGTCATTTAATATAGAATTAACAAATTTTCAGTAGTTACAGGGTATAAGTTAATTTTAAATATTTGATCCCAACAAAGTTTTGCATGGACGCGTAACGGGGGCGGCTTCCCAAACGGGAGCCAGCGGTAAACTGCCGGGTTACCGGGCATGCCGAGTCGCAGCCCTACTAATGGCACTCGATCGTAATTAATCGTCTACTTTTTCCTTACTACTTTTGTATAATATTCACTTGTATTGTGATTATATATATAATTATAATATGATGATATAATATGAAGAATAAGCAAGCTGAAGTGGCAATGGGCTGATCACATAGCTCGAACCGACAATCGATGGGGAAGAAATTTTCTTGAGTGGCGAACCTGTACGGGCAAACACAGTGTGAAACGATTCCTCACTAGATGAAGCAACGACCTCAAATGCATTGCAGGGTCAGTGGACGCAGATGGCTCAAGACTGTTCTTTATAGCAATCTATGGGGAGACCTATGTTTAGTAGTGGACAGATGATGGCTGAGATGATGATGATGATTGTAATTGTTTATGGCTTTACGTGAATAGTTAAAACGTGAGTTTTTATTTAGGGGATGCCCGACTAATTTTGTTTTTTTTTTAATAAAGACTCCTGCCGATTTCGAAACTAGTCAAGGCATCTTCGAATTTGAGACTTTAGTAAAGTCAACAGAAATGATTACAATACAGTATGATTCATGATAGTTATTATCTGGATCATCATTAGTGGTGAACTTTTCTGCTTACAGTTCGTGTGATTATTTGAATATGGAAAAGAGCCAAATAAATATAGATCTTTTTTCTAATTTTGCAATACTCTACGACTCTTTTGATTTGTTACAGAGGGATTATTCTGAGTGCTTAAAACTTGATAGTTTTGTAGATAAAATTGAGTTACCGTGCAAATTAATAAGAATAGAATAACATAATAAAATAATGGTACATCAGCCGTTAACTGTCCACTATTGAACATAAGCCAAAAGTTTAAATTTTTCCAGTAATTCCAAGCGCAGTTAGGCTTTGGTGTTATTTTAAGAGGGGTAGTGCTGCCCATCCCTTAAATCCCCTTAGTCACCTCTTACGACACGCACGAGATAAGAAAGAACGGTCTATTTAATGCAGGCATTTCATTCTCAATATAATATTATACTGAAAATGAAATTAGATCAGTTCAATCGTTATATCAGAATACGGATGAAGTATCAGTAATTGATTACGATGACTTCAAGGAAGACCGTGTGGAAGTCGACATGACAAGGTACATTCCAGTTATTGTGTTTCTGTCCCCGTCACTAAAACTCCCTTCCCAAAGATAATGTCATCAGAAATATACAAAGTGACATCGGAACGAAATACCTTAGTAGGACAATAAATTTCGTGGACATTTTCAATAAAATCACCGGGTATGTGTTACTAAATTCAGTTAGCGGCCCATTTGTATGTAAAATGTTTAAGACTTGAAGGCCCAAATTATAAAGGGCTAATGGGCCGTGAACTGCGAAGGGTGTTTACCACCACGACCCTTGTGATTTAGGCGAATTCATATTGGATTTTTAACCTTTGAAAGTAGGTACTTATGTATTCATAAAAGTACTTAAAACAGGCATTTACCTTTAAATCCATGTAGAATTTACATTTTCTTTATAAAAATTATGATTACGATTTAATTTTGAAGGCCTACCTATAATAATCGGAATGTCGTTCACGCAGCAATTTTTTGTGTTGTTCTTTAGGTATATTAAATAAATTATATCCTTAGGCATTATACAGCTTCATCAAACTAAGCAAAACTTGTACTGACAATATTAGACATATGATAGAAATACTTTTTTAATACATCTATTATCAGCCTTTAACTGTCTAACATAAGCTTTCTCCATAAGAGCGATTTGTAAGTAGTAGTCATGCTTGGCAACTACATTTATTTATTTTGGTGATGTTGTAAAGGGATTCTTCTGCCCATGCCTTGACTATTAAGCTCTCTAAGTCGCCTCGTACGACACCCACTGGAAAGAAAGGGGTGGCTCATTCTATGCCGGGACCACACGGTGAAATTTATATATTTATACTTATTTTTTATACAAGTAATTAATCAACAGCTTACTCATTTTACAGTACAAATCAGAATTATTGAAATATTGCATTCTAAAATTTGAAAGCTAATAATAGAATAAAAATAGACTGCACCAATGAATTAAAATTTTGTATTATACGGGAATCGAATCTGTGACCTTCCGAAGTCAAGACCTTGACGAAGCTATGTTAAACCGCTATTCTGCCAAAGTTATATGTTTACACACACAACAATATTTCATCATCACCATCATCATATCAGCCTTCAAGTGTTCACTGCGGAGTATAAGCCTTCCTCTTTAGAGGTTTTGCCAGTTGCCACGCTTGGCAGGCAGATTGGCAAACGCAGTTAGGCTTTGGAGATGTTTTAAGAGGGACGCTGCTGTCCATCCCTCGGCCTCTCTTAGTCGCCTATTACGACACCCACGGGAAGACATTTATTTAAATCCGTCAGAATTACCGAAGGTATTGCGTAACAATTTGATGACGTACAAAAAACACAAAAATTGTTAAAATAGATTCCGCCGTACTTTTAAATCTCAGTCAATAACTTTAAAATTAGAATAATTTAGAGATAAATTTAGAAAATAATATCTCAGACTCTTAATAAATACTCTTAAGGGTTCGCTTCTGAATTTAAGTGTCATTTCGTAAGTATATTTTAGAAATCATCATATCAGCCTTTACTGTCCACTGATGAACATAGGCCTCCCCGTTGGGGGGTTTTGCCAGTAGTTACCACGTGCCACTAAAATATATTTACCTATACGTATTTACTTGCCTATTAATTTACCAGAGGGAGACTTTGTACAAAAGTCTATTGCTTGGGTACCTCTGTCCCATTCATGTTTCAACCGTGAAGCAGTTGTGTTTGCATAGCTGTGTTTCGGTTGGAAGGATGGGATATGGCGTGAATTTACTGGGTACGGAGGAATAACACCTGAGTCCTCAGGAATGACAACGCATGGGGGTATCATGGGCGAAACAGTATCTTCTATTATGTCCATGGTACTGCTTATGTCTATAGGCGACGGTTACCACTTTCCATCAAGTGGGCCGTCAGCTTGTTTGCCATTCTAAGTTGTATAAAAAAAAAAGTACACTCTCAACTGTTGTGATTAATTCCTGGTCAATTCGTCAACTTCATACTTGTCATTCCTCACTGGTACCCACCTAGCCATACAATAACGCAGGGGCACAGATAATACTACACGCAGGGGTTACCATTCTGTTTTTATTCGTTAAAGATAGGCATAGACAAAACAGAGTATTCTGTCTGTAGTCTGTTTATCTCTATGGGCGACGGTTACCACTTTCTACCAGACGAGTCAATAGATTGTCATTTCCAGTTGCATAAAAAAAAAATAGATATGTTACCTTCTCTTCATGTCCTCCAGGTCAATGGCTTAATTTTTTTTTTTACAAACCTATCAATTCCAAATCAAACCTACGCCTAGTTCCCTATAAATATGGCAGAAGAATCTATGATATATTATTTAATTTTTAACCAGTCAGCTTAAATATTATATTATTATTTTTTGGTTCGAATAGTCGTAAAAACATCTAGAAATATTAAAAAAAAATAACATAGCAAATTAAGTTTCCTGTTTTACTAGTTACATACAATGAGGTGAAAAGTAATGGGAAAATAGATTAATAAAAACAAGCCTATTAAAATTTATAGAAACTTTATTTGAATTCAATTCGATTTATTTTTCTCTCAAGTGTTAATGGTTAGTAGAAAATAAATAATAGTACCTAGTCATTTTTGTTCTAAACAGAAAAATATATTATTTCATTTATTACATCTATTTGTACAGAAATGGAAGATTCATTTTCCACTATGAAACTAGCTACGTCTGACATATTAGGATTACTTCTAGTCAAAACGCTATGTTACAAAACATAATAATAAAATATAGGTTACAAATTAAGTGAAAAATCAAATAAAACAACTTATTATTTATCTAGCTTTCAATCATAAAGCATCGGCTAAAAGAAATACTGAATAACATATCCAAGGAGCAATACAATTTTAGACCAAAATATTATAATCGCTATTTCGTCATAGTTTGTTCCTAAAAATAATTTATTATTTTATCATATTTAAAGTTACTAATTTTAAGTAGTAAACACACAAATATGAAATTATTTTAAAAATCAATATAATAAATGATTAGGTACATTAATACAAAATCCACTAATAGTCTTAACTTTTCGTTTAACTGAACGACTTTCCTTATAAAAATATTTTATTAACATTTCACACCAAATGGATCACGTGATCGCAGTTTACCTTTTGCAGGAAAATTAATAAAAAAAAAAATATATGACGAGGAAAAATATAAGACGCAAAAGGAAAGTATTGGAATATATGTTTTTATGGAACGTTACAACATTCGAATTGAATCCGGCTTCATAATGCAATGAAAAGGAAATAAGGATAAATTTATTTAGACATTTGAGCTCAAAAATATGGACTAGACGCAGCGTGGAAAATGTATCTTGGAACTTAGAATTGTAAGTAGACGTGTGTAATATATAGCAATACCTATATATTGTAGTAACAATATATATATATTGAGCCAACGGATATATTAAATATCAGTTATCCAATATATAATATCAAAATGAAGGCTTCGATCGAAATTAATATAGATATCCGACTGATATTGGTGAAAGGGGGAACATTTTTTTTTTACAGCAATATCCAGAGAAACTCAATACATAGATATTGAAGCGGTATCGATATTACCCATGTCTAATTATAAGAGTCTTCAAACACGAGTCGCCGCGTCCAAGTAATCGTACAACACAAAATGCATCTTGTAATACAATTTGGCAAATCTTGTATTGTGCGAATTATATTGCATTCGTGTGCGAAGGCAATTAACTCAAAAAAATATTTAATTTTAGAAATTGTTTCATTACTAATTGTAAGTAAACATCATAATAACTCGTCAGTATTCTTCGGTTCAAACAGTCGAACTTATTTTTTTGATAAGATGCTAAAAGTGCAATTATCTATAAACTAGATTTTTCGAGTAATCGCATGTTTTGTCCACGATTGTGGTTAAAATACTTTAATTAATGGCAGTATCATTCCTGATAATAGGCACAGTATAATTAGAAAACTTTTTACGTATGGATAAAGTTTAACATTAAGAACCCCATAAACAATGCAGATAACACGTGTATCTGTAATAATCACGATCATTAAAAAGTTGAATCTGGATTTATCTGCAGATGTTATCCTTACATGCATTTTGTATCTAACAATATCTGTGGATATTACGGTATCTGCAGATATTTAATTATAAAATATTATCTACACCGTGTATGATGGTCTTTATATTGTAACTATCGATATAATGATTACTCGTATTTAACTTATAATAGTATTTTATTACTGTCTTTCAAATAAAAAAAAAATCATTACAATAGAAAATAGATTAATTTCATTTATAAAAATGTCTAAAAAAATCCATCTCTATGGTCGTTTTTCTCATTTCACTTCATATTAGATGATTTGAATTTCGCCAAATGACAAGCCAATAATTAATTGTTTCAATAAAGTAAACAATCTTTCTAGAAACTGAGTAGTTAGGCGGACTTGCCTCATTAAAGGACCAAACAGGAATTTATCATAAAATACAGAAGTACTCTCTTACACACTACAAGTGTTATGTACTTACGTATTATGCTAGTATAGTTAGGTCCCATATTCTTAATTGTAAAGAACACTTTATTTATATTTTATTAATTTGATATATAAATGTTTCAAAATGATATATAAAACAAATTTAAGTAGTATCTAATAGAAAGGTAAACAAAACAAGTCTAAATTCAACTAAGAACTCATATTTTGATCATATTTAATCTGTCAAACGTACGTAAATTTTTTTAATCAATGAGTAAAGAGTGTAATTAATTTATTAAAGAAAGCAAATATTTCAAACAACTAATCAATTTCGTTTGGACATCGTTAGACTTGTTTATGGTCGGATTAAGACTCGTTTGTTCACGTTTCTAGTAGATTCTTTTTAGAAAGAGTAATACCTACATATATGTTTATAATATTGCGAGTTAAAAAAAATTACAAAGTCAACAATTATTTGACACTTTTGTATCTCTAAATAAAATGTACAATTATTTTCAAATACAGAATGGCACAGATTAAGAAGTTATAGATAGGTACAATGTTAAGAAAAATAAATTACCATGTTACATGTTACTATGTAAAAATGGGTATTAAATTCGTTAGAAAGGCAAGATTTCACTATTACACACTACATAAAACTTATAAACATAATCACAGAACACTAACACTAATACTACATCTAAAATAAATAATTGAAGGTAAATGTAATATAAAACATGATATGTTTTGGAGTCGTTTATTCGAGAAGAATTTAGCCTCCTATTCGATGAATTGGTTTCAAGAAGATTATTACAAATTGGAGATTGGAATGTGAACTCACTTTCACGTAATCTTTTACGTGTCTTCCATCTCGCTTACACAATAATCGGAGCAGCTAATGATATGCTACCGCTCACACTTAGCGATGACGTTGAGACAGAAATCGTCACGAATTTTAATTTAGTTACAACCTTCTTAATCCGTTCTTATTAAAAAAAAACTACAAAATGCTGTTAACATACCATAAACAAACAAAAAACACTCTTTTTTCAAATTTATTGGTTCCTGATATTATTCTTTCTTCAGTTCACTTTGGTCACCGGCTTCCATGCGGCCAGTATGTATTATCATATGGTTGGCAAGATCTTAGACGAAGGTGAGATCAATCGCCGCCATTTTCTGACGGTGCTTTGGTCAGCCCCCGTGCGTACGCAGTCTGTATACTTTCACATACGAACTTATATTGGCTCTGTAAGGAAAAGTATACATTATAGTTGTATCGCTACTAATAAAGTGAGGGTGGTGCCCTCTAGTTACAAGGCTTTCTTTGTATTCAAAAACTTTCGAGGCTCGTATTTGGGACAAAAGACTATCTTTTGATTAACCCTTTTAGTGCCATTGATTTTTACTCATATCTACTTAAAAATGCTAAAGAAATCTTTGTCGTGTTGATGTCATTTACCCTTGTCTGTAAAAAAACTGTATCTCCTTCAAAAATTATCCAATTTTGATATTTTTTTTTACAGGAAGCTAAACAGCGACTGATTTCACGAGCGCTATGACGCTTGTGGCACTTTTAGTTGCAATGCGCACGAGCGCGATAGCGCTCGTCAGCACTCAAAGGTTTAAAATAATCATTTGATAAATATATAAAATATAAACATAAATAAATGCCACACAATAATATCAAGTTATAAGGATAAAGTTTTTATCATTTGGTAAAAAAAAATCTATTTTCTACCAATTTCAAAATCTCCTATTCTCAATTCGGTTTTTTTTTATACAACTTAGAATGGCAAACAAGCTGACGGCCCACATGATGGAAAGTAGTAACCGACGCCTATAGACATGAGCAGTACCATGGACATAACAGAGTATACTGTTTCGCTCATGATACCCCTCATACGTTGCCACTCCTGAGTACTCAGGTATTATTCCTCTGTGCCCAGTAAATTCACGCCATATCCCACCCTTCAAACCGAAACACAGCCATGCAAACACAACTGCTTCACGGTTGAAACACAAATGGGACAGAGGTACCCAAGCAATCGACTTTTGTAATAAGTCTCCCTCTGGTAACAATATAAATAATTGTATTTGGTACAAGGAAAAGCCACATCCTTTATCTACCTTTCTCTCTGTACTTATCCATTCTTTATGCCAGGTTGTCTGTAAGAGTTTGCTTTTAGCGATAAGGCCGCCATTTGTATATGCACATTCTGTATAAATACTCCTTGTACACATCTCTACTGTGCGCAATAGAGTTTTTTATTATTATTATTATTATTATCCTAACTAGGATAGGTAATATATAGCAATATCTATATATTTTACTTACAATATCTATATACTCTGGTCAAATAACGAATACATATATTAAAAGTTTGTTTTCGAAAACATTATATTAGACAGCCAACTTTTAACATATTCGAAAACAGATATCCAACCAATATGGACGATATTGAAATGACCTCATAAATGTCCAGAGGAACTCAACATATAGATATTGAATCGGTATCCATGTTACCTATGCTTTAATCCTAACAAAAAATAGGATATTTTATATACTGATTCACGCGAACGAACACAGCTATAAACAAATATAAAATACAGGGGGGAAAAGGGATTGTTAGTAATGGGAGTTAGCAACTCTATTACTAGCAATAAGGTCCGACCCTATAAGGCCGACCTTGCGGTTCCCTCTGGAAATCATCGTGGCCGATCCATTGGTGAATTTGTCACGATTAGCTAACTGACCTGTTTCATCTTCACTTATCGTCCCTCCCTGGTACCCCGCCAGCGTATACCGATAGCACAGGCGGGGTTGCCATTCCATTATCATCCACTAAAAAAAAATACAACTTACCGCATTTTGTATACACATGGGTCGTTGGGTTCTCATGGCGCGTACTAAATCGAGGGGGTACAGCGGTTGTCTGCGTGAAAGCAGTTCGATGGCCGTCTCAGCCAGTATGAGGGCCCCGGTGCGGCCCACGCCCGCCGAGCAGTGCACGATCATGGGAGGGTCCAGCAGCCTCTCCTCGCCGTTCGACTCCTCAACCACTGTCGGTATTACTGGAGTTATAGAAATTATCGTGCAGTTAGCTTTTGTTAAACGTATTAGCGATATCGGTTATTGCTATGCAACGTCATATTACAAAGCGATATGGTGAAAGCATGAAATAAAAATATTATAATTAATTACATGAATGTAGTATTTTCTGACATTGCTCACAACTTGGGTTACATGTTTATTTTTATAACTAATTAACGCAACTTTTAAAATATTTGTAGTCTAGTGTTATTTGATTCATTATAATTGTTACTTCATTTTATCGTACTGTATAATTATGATAAAGTGAATGCTGTGAATACATATAATAGGCATGTGCATCAATATTGTATTATATTTAATGTTTATTATATGTGTTATAATGCAATATGCTGTTGGTGTTCCTTAAATAAATAAATAAAATAAAATTGTGATAGTTATGTAAATAGTAATTAAAATATATATTAAATATCTTTTTTTTTTTTATTGGTGAAATAAATCAAGGTAATATAATTCATGTTCAAAATTAAAGGAAACTTTCGTTTTTTTTTTCTACAATGGACATTAAAATGGTACCCAGACATGATCAACTTAAAGTGAACTTGTTCTTTTATTTGGGCATTTTGGCATTTGGTTTTTGGGCATTCAATGTTATGATCGAAATTTCAACCATTATGCAAAGAAGGGTCTCTCTTAAAACTTCATCAAAGCCTAAAGTTTGCAGTTGCCAACTCGCTTGCCAAGCGTGAAAACTACTGGCAACCCCTCCATCCTTCTTGTGGGGACGGCCAATAATTAGTGGTGAACACTTTCCCCTTATTACTATAAGAGTTTTTGTACATCGTATTTGTATTGCCATCACCATAAAAAATATGTCATAAGTTGTTTTATGCACCATGTATATATAATTAAGGTAATTATAAGGTAAATAAATAAATAATAAATAATAAAAAATAAATAACTAGTAGTGTATAAAAAGTGTACATACCAGCTCGATGTGTCCGCAGATGTGCGCAGAGGGCTGTGAAAGCTATGAAGGCGGTTGAATCTTCGGGCACACCGTGGTCCGGCCACGCCGTGTACTGCAGCTGAGTGACAGCGCGGGTGCCACCGCCCGCGTCCTATACGACAACATCGAAACAACGACTAGTATGTTCATTTTTTTTATACAACTTAGAATGGCAAACAAGCTGACGGTCCACCTGATGTAAAATGGTAACCGTCGCCTAAAGACATGAGCAGTACCATGGACATAACAGAGTATACTGTTGTCGCCCATGATACCCCCATGCGTTGCTATTCCTGAGGACTCAGGTGTTATTCCTCTGTACCCAGTAAATTCACGCATATCCCACCCTTCAAACCGAAACACAGCCATGCCATATTATAGGGAGCGTAACAACGCGACTCACCACGCCGCAAATATATAATACATAAAAAATATATGACATTTTATTTCATTTCACTAACCTTTAGAGTCATTTCTCTTCTTGTATAATGCCCCAAGTTTTGTTCACTGTTCGTATTTACTGTGAGTGTATTGGTCGCCTTAAGCGATGTGCCAACTTTGGGCCAATATTGGTGACACTTGGCGCGTCCTCTTTCAGCCAACACTGTCAACATTACTATAAGGCTGCTTTCACTCTCCCACACCATTTGCCAGAAGTCACCAACTGTTGATGCTAGTGGTCCTGGAATAGAAGGTAACTTAAGCTGTAATGTTCAATATACAGTAAATAAAATAATGTCTTGAAATAAATCTAAAACTAAACACATTTAATAAACAAAAAAATTGCGAAATTGCGATTTTGAGTCCTCAGGAATGGCAACGCATGGGGGGTATCATGGGCGAAACGGTATACTCTGTTATGTCCATGGTACTGCTCATATCTATAGGCGACGGTTACCACTTTCCATCAGGTGGACCGTCAGCTTGTTTATCATTCCAAGTTGTATAAAAAAAAAATTACATAGAGCGTATTGTTAACTTACCTTGCGTGGCGATGTACGTGAGTACGAGATCCGAGTTGGGTATTTCCATGTTGATGTATGACGCATTGATGTAGTCGCCGGTTGGTCCGTTTTGCAGGACCACGCGGGTCGAATCGTCTGTAAGAATATTAATTTAGTTACTTCTCAAAAAATAAATACGCCTATAATCTCTACATAGGCCATATTTCGAGCCGACCCGTCGTCCGTACCCAATAGGATAGAGGACGGATCGCTCTGTCATTTACGCAATCCAGAACTAATAGAAAAAATCTCTGCATAGTACTAAACAGGTCACTTTCCGCTATCGGTAAGTAAACTTTTCTTTAACGATAATTATCAAACAGTGTTCTTGCATTCACCAACATTAATATTGAATGTTTTTAGAAATGGGTAGTTTTTTTATAAAAAAAAAATGGTCAGGTGACGTCATGTATTAAAGAGGAAGAAGACAAGAAGGCAGTCGCTACTCCTCTCTCGAATTCTCCATTTCCAAGGTATAATCCCCATACAATTAACAGTTGCAGTAATTGTATGTAATCTGTGACATACATTTTATTCAGGTCCATATACTTACACGGCGCTATATCTCTGTATCTGTTCTTGTTAAGATTGTGCGGTAATTTAGAGACAAGGGACGGCTCGTCCGGCAGCCGCCGCAGTAACGTTTCGTATTGTTTGAGCGCCGCTCCACTCGCCAAGCCATCGCCTAGAGAAACAATAAAATATTAGAGATTATAAAAAAAAAAATTAGACTACACACTTCCTATACAACTACTTGCAGTTGTGTTGAAAGAAAGAATAAAAAAAGCTGTATTGGCAACTAATTTCATTAAGAAAATAAAACAAAACAAAGACAATAATATTAATTTGCTTTAGAACTAATCGAGTTGTTGACATGGTCAGCACTCAGCATTATGCCATGACAGTTTATTTACTGCCATAGCGCTGTTATTCTGTGCAAGCCACATAGTGATTTCACAGACGGCTACCTAGTTTTAAAACAATAATAAAAAAAATACACACAAAAAAATACATATAAAACAGTAGTCAAAAAGATAAGAAAATATCAACATATACAAGTGAGATTGTTTGCAGACCAATGAATTAAATATAACGGTTCTAAATGCATGAATATATTAATGAAATACCTAAAGTCATATAGGTCACCTCTGACCCATTCGAACATCTAACAATCCACAGCTGCGTTGAGTGTGTGTTGCCAAAGAAATAATATAATCTTTTCTTGAAGGTTTGAATGTATATAATGAAAAATATCTAACGATGCAACCTATTGTCTTCATTTATTAGAGGTAATCGCCGTGTAGTTCCGGCATAGAATGGGCCACCCCTTCCTTTCCCGTAGATGTCGTAAGAGACAAGGGAGGGCGAGAGATGGGCAGCAGCGTCCCTCTTTAAATATCTCTAAAGCCTAACTGTGGTTGTCAATCCGCCTGTTAAACGTGACAAAACCTATTTGGGTAAGGCCTGTGTTCAGCAGTGGACAGTTAACGGCTGAAATAATAATTATAAAATGGATAGATTTAGAAAAATGGAATTAGAATGACGGTCATTCAACTTACATAGTTTTCAATACTCACCCAACAATAACATGGACTGTTGTAACGCATCGCCCTCGAGTTGTCCAGCGTCGGCCGCGAGCGGCACGAAGCATACAGCTGGCTCCTCGAGACCACCATCTTCGGGCTCGTACACCGCTGACAAATTATATACGTTGATTACTTTTTTATTTTTATACTACAGATAAAGGCGAAGAGACTATGTCCATACAGCTTTACTGAATATTTAAAGTATCGGTATATAGGTAATTAATTATTTTATATGCAATGCATGGTACCCAAACAGGTTCTAAGGATAACAACTTGTTATATTCCATTTTTTTTATACAACTTAGAATGGCAAACAAGCTGACGGCCCACCTGATGGAACTTGTTAACCGTCGTCCATAGACATGAGCAGTACCATGGACATAAGTATACTGTTTCGCCCATGATACCCCCCATGCATTGCCATTTCTGAGAACTCTGTACCCTGTAAATTCACGCCATATCCCACCCTTCAAACCGAATCCATTTCACTTAGTTTTCAGAAAAATATTAAAGATTTTGATTTTTTTACATTTTCTTTAATTATTGCAACCCTGTCAGAATATACCTAAGATAGTAACATCTTATATAGAAATATATAAACTATTATATATAATGAAATTAAATAAATGTAAAATCCAGTAATCTAATAAAACTAACTCAAAAAATCTTTAAGTATTGTAGTGTAGTATGGGTTATTGTCACTTTAAGTAATTTATAAAAAACTAACATAGTCCTGAATATATTAAAAACTTCATATTGTTCATTTAAAAGTTGCAGATAGTAGATAAAAGATAGGTACTAATAAACAGTTTGAGAACTCACCATTCGGCTTAACAACTAATGTGAGGATGCCTCTCGTGTTCCTGATAAGTTGGACAACTTGCTCATGAGTCAAGTCGTCCACATCAGTGCCGTTTATTGATATTACCTGTATATAGTAAAATAAGTATTAATATTGTGTCCATTAAACAAACATCTATACACAATAGGAGCCACAGACAGCTCTCTATGTCAAGGCTGTTTCGACGCCGAAGAAACGGCTGCTCACGTAATCCTAGAATGTGAGGCTGTGGCCCATCAACGTTTAGAAATCCTCGGAATGGTGAGGTCGCTCCGTGAGGCCTGTGAAGAACTCAGGAAGCTTCTGCGCTTCTGGGCGGAGCTAGGTTGGCTGTACTAGCCACGACTAATACGCACAATGGCTCAAGTGAGGGGCTAAGCGCGTAAAATGGAGTCTTTTTCACAATCACATTCAAGTATTAATATAAGGTATAACAATTTGAAATCTAGTTCATAATATGCATTAATTTGTAAAAAAAAAAGTTAATCTACAGATGTTATCATCACAGCCATAGGGATTAAGTTCTATCAAAATATCAATATATAAAAATAAAAAATATACTGTAAATCTAGCTGTAACACATTACAGTTAGATTTACAGTATATATACTCACTAGTATAAAATATAGTGTAAAAGGTGCTGTAGCCAAGCATTGGAATTAGATTTTAAAGATTCCATTTTGTATTTGTAACCAGTGACCTAGTCAGTTCCGGTTAGACCAGACTCCGGTTAAAAATTAATATTTGCCGCCTTTTACAATTAATAATCATGTTGCGACTCATAGAAACAAAGTCTACTGCTATACTATCTGGTAATAAATTGAATAATTATTATTTGTTGATAAACTATGACAGTTTGGCCAACTTACATATATATGTTTTTATTACAGTTTATTTGCTGAAGTAAATCCTTAATTAATACTATAAATGCGTAAGTGAATTTGTTACGTTTTCACCTCTAAACTGCTGAATCTGTTATGACGAATTTTAGTATAGTGATAGATCCTGGACACGGTTATAGCTTATTTTTCTCTTAGTCAGCAAAGATAATTAAATCACGCGAAGTCGCGGGTGATGGTTAATCGTCGATATGTATGCCCGGCGTTCCTTTCTATAATAAAAAAAAAAAAAAAAAAAAAAAAAAAAAAATTGTCCTTGTCTATAATAAAAAAAAAATCCTAACCTGGTCTCCCTCTTGTAGCTGCGGGCGGCGCGGCGCCACCCTGGACACGAGCACGGGCGCCCCGCCGCCGCCGCGGACGTTGAACCCGAACCGGCCGTCGGGCCCCGCCGCCAGCCGCACGCACACCTCGTCCCCGCCCTCGCCGCCCGCCTCCTCCGGCCCCGCCCCGCCGCCGCCCTCCGCCTCGCACACCCCCGCCCCGGACCCGCCCTCCGACGACTCCGACTCGTCCACATACGATAATGGCACACGTAGCGCCCGCTCGAGGAAGCCGCCGTCGCTGTATCAAGTAAAAAAAAATTACATTAAAAAAATAAAATTACCTATACCTCCCCCATCCACATTATTCTCTTATCTGCATACATTTAACCTTTCCATCCACGTTATTCCCATTGTCCACACGCATATGTTTTGTGCAAGAGTTTTACTAAGAAGGAAAGAGAGTGTAAAAATAAAATCAACTATATATCATTTATTGAGTCCATCTTGCCTGTATTTCTCATCACCATATCAGCTGTTAACTGCCCATCGCTGAATATAGGACTTTTCCATAAGGAGGGTATTGCCAGTGGTTGCCACGGTTGATAGGCGGTTTGGCAACCGCAGTTAGGCTTTTGATGTTTTAAGAGGAACACAGTTGTCCATTCCTCGACTACTAAGTTTCTTTAGTTGCCTTTTACGTCACCTACGGGAAAAAATGGATGGTCGATTCTATGCTGGAACGACACGGCAATTGCCTGTATTTTTAATCACTTCAAATAGTCTACAAAAAGTAGAATACTGGCTTGTCATCATTCTACATAGGATTGTCAGTTCGAGCGACAAATTGGATTCATAGTCCTACTCCTGAAATTTGTGACGGAAGTCTTCAAATCTGTGTCACTACTGATCAGTGAAACATACTCTGCTTATGAAGAAAAATAAATATTTTTACGCACGTATTCATGCACGCACGCACGCACGCGCGCGCGCTCTCTCAAGTGTCGCACATTCAAGCGTCGAAAGTTGCCCTAATTTATTTTGAATAAATAAATATCATACTGACTCGTCGTCGTTGGCGGCGGCGTCGTGCGTCCAGGCGGCGCGCGGCGGCGGCTCGGCGCAGCCCGTGACGCGTGCGCCGCGCAACGCCAGCGCCGCGCCCGGCGACGCTGCGCCGCCCGCGCCGTTCGCGCCGTTCACGCTGTTCGCGCCGTTCGCGCCCTCCGACCGTTCGCGTACTCGCGAGCTGCTGCGTCTGCACAAAGTATAGACTAAGGATAGTAGTCTCGGTCTTAACAGATATGGCACACAATGATCGGACGGATTAATTGTTAGTAATGTACATTACCAGTCCCACTGCTAGTAATATACGTTATAAGGTATACCTCCACGTAGTTCCCCCTGGAAATCATCATGCTTAATCCCAGGTGTAATCATCACGATTGGCTAACAGACCTGCTTTCATCCTCACCTGTCACCTAGCACTGGTGCCCCGCCAGCGTGTGCCGCTAGCGCAGGCGGGGTGATGGTTGCTAAGACGCAGGAGCGCGAGCGGCGCGCGTCGTGCAGCGCCTGCGTCTCGGTGCGCCAGCCCCGCCAGCGTGTGCCGCTAGCGCAGGCGGGTGATGGTTGCTAAGACGGCGCGGCGCGCTCACCTGACGAAGCTCGTGTTGGAGGAGCGCGAGCGGCGCGCGTCGTGCAGCGCCTGCGTCTCGGTGCGCCAGCCCCGCCAGCGTGTGCCGCTAGCGCAGGCGGGTGATGGTTGCTAAGACGGCGCGGCGCGCTCACCTGACGAAGCTCGTGTTGGAGGAGCGCGAGCGGCGCGCGTCGTGCAGCGCCTGCGTCTCGGTGCGCGGCACGCGCGGCGCGCCCAGCCCCGCCAGCGCGCCCAGCGCGCCCAGCAGCGGGCGCCGGCGCGGCGCGCGCAGCCGGAAGAACCCGTGCCGCTCCACGCTGCAGCGCCACAGCGCCTTCGCCGCGCGCCCCGAACGCATGTTGAACCCCAGCACCGTGTCGTACGATTCCGACTGAAATATAATATTAACACTGATAATTATTTTTTTTTACTAAAGGAAGACTGTATAAAAGGCATTTTTTTATTTATCTATTTACTTGTATAAGTATATCTGTCTCTCTCGTGTATCTGAAGTATCTAGAGCACTTAGTAACCATTGTATAGTTACAGTTATACAACTTACCGGTTCCCTCTTTAGTTGTATGAAGAACTGTTTCTTCTTGAATGAGATCTTGACGATCTTACTCCAAGAGAATGTGTTCACCCTTATGTTATTCTGAAAGACCACTATACCTATTGACGTTACGCCAATAAATATGTCTTTGCCATGATAATCCTGAAAAAAATAATAATAAAACGATTAATAACAAAACATTTTTTAGTAAAAAGTTTTGTGGAAATAGATTATATTTAAATTTAAATTCGTTTTTATGTATATCTATAATATTTGGCCAGAATAAGGTATGTTACGCGTGTTGTTTTTTTTTTCTTAATTATTTTTTTATATCTGTCTTTAAGAGGTAGTTTTAGACGCGGGCCGAAAACAAGTCTTTTTGGAGTGTCAGTTCAATGATAGAAACTTACAAACTAAGCGACCTGTATTTAAAACTGCTGCTTTTTGAAGAAGTATACATGTGAATGGTTGTATATATAAGGTATTGAAACTTGTAAGGTTTTTGAGATCACACCAGTTGTAGATAAAACTATTGGTATTGTTTTGACCGCATGAACCCGCCATTGGAATTTTTTTTTCTATAGAGAGCTCTGTGTATTTAGCAAATTTTTCAGTGTTTTTGTCTGATTGTGCGTGTTGCATATTGCTATGTCAATAAACTAGCGGCCCGTCCCGGCTTCGCACGGGTGGACATTTTTATATTTTAAAAAGTGGCCATTAAGGCTGCACACGCGACGGAAGCTTAAAAATGGAGTAACTTCTTCCGTTTTCCCAATATTTCCCTTCACTGCTCTGCTCCTATTGATCGTAGCGTAATGAAACGTATACTATAACCTGCCCAGGAGTATGAACAATAATTGTACCAAGTTTCGTTAAAATACGTCGAGTAGTTTTTTGTTTCTATAACGAATATACAGACAGACAGACAAACAAAAATTTTTACTGATTGCATTTTTGGCATCAGTATCGATCACTAATCACTCCCTGATAGTTACTTTGGAAGTATATTTCATGTACAGAATTGACCTCTCTACAGATTTATTATAAGTATAGATTATATACAAATATAATATTTACAATTCTCCTTACAAATTATAATCAACACTACGACTAAGTATATCAGGAAAATTTTCATTAATATAACATTACGCAAATGTTATTTAAATATTTACATACACTCTCATATTGTTTGGCGAGACAAAAACGACATCTCGCCGAGATAGCAACAATTAACCTCAAACTAAACTATAGATAAGTCTACTTTCAAACGAAATCGGCGCCACTATTATGTCCGGGCGCTATCACTGTGCCGTTTGCAATTGACATATCAATAAATCATTGCATTAATAGATTATATAGACGCATGAATAGTTTGCGAATTACATTACATTTTCATCCGACTTAAAAAAAGAGGGATTCTCTATTCGATTGTATTTTTTTTTATGTCAGTCATTTCAGAACTTCATAATTTTTATAAATGGTGTAGTTTCGAAGTAACCATTTGGAAAATCAAAGAATATACTTTCAGATTGATCCTATAAAAGAATCATCCAAATCGGTATTCGGTAATTTGGTTTCAAATCAAAGATTTTGCCACTATATTATTATTTATGTTTTTTTTTTTTTGTTGAACAAAATACTAGCGTTATTATACTTCGTGAAAACAAAGTTTTCTCTGTCTACCCCACAAGAGAAGATAAATATTATAAAAAAATGGTATTTTAATATGTTTATGAATTATCCATTATCATAGTATAAGCTTCAATTAAAAAGGGTCTAGCGCACGTGACATGTCTAGTGTTGCAGGCGTCCATAGGCTACAGTGACCGTTTACAATCAGACAGGCTGTATGCTTGTTTGCAAGCTTCGCGGTATAAAAGAAAATAGATGACGCAATCAATACATATATTAAAATCGTAACTGGTCCGTACATTTATTTATTTATTCGTTAGTACAAATATGTGTACATGGCGGACTTAATGCTAAAAGCATTCTCTCCCAGTCAACCATAGGGAAGTGTCAGAATACTCGAATGCGGTACTAGTAATTATTGATATACATACATTGAAGATATATAAGAAAAAATATTATAACGGGGTTTTATGAACGCAATAGAACACAACATAATTATTTTTAGAATATTTATCTGTTTGTCAGTACGTTTGTGGACGCTAATCTCAGAAATGGTTTAACCGAAATGCGGTTTTCACTAATGCGTTGTGGTTTGATCCACTTAACAATCAGTGTTTGTGTTATTTCAACTGGTTTATAAAATAAGAAAGTTACACCAATCTAAAGAATCACATATAAAATCCTATAAATTAACCGATCAGTCAAATTGACTGAGACTTTTTTAATTATACTAGCTGACTCGGTAAACGTTGTTTTACCATATAAATTATTTCTAGAACTATACATGAAAATATATCGTACTACAATTATTGAATATTCGACTGCCATCTTGTAACCCTATAACGGAATATAAAAATTGCGATTACAAAAAAAAAAACAAGGGTTGATCGTAAAAGGGTAAAAAATTTAAGTTGTATGTATTTTTCAATACTAAATCATATTAAAATAAAAATACAAAATTTTGTCAAAACATTAAAAACAAAATTTTTAGGGTCACCCTTATCATTATGGGGTATAAAAAATAGATGTTGACCGATTCTCAGACCTACCTAATATGCACACAAATTTTCATGAAAATCGGTAAAGCCGTTTCGGAGGAGTTTGGTAACAAACACCGTGACACGAGAATTTTATATATTAGATGCATTTTCGTAAATTTGCTACTTCTCAAAAAATCCAACTCGTGCGAAGTCGAGTCGGATCGCTAGTTGTAATAATAGTAGAGTAGTAGAGGTACCAACCTTAGCCGGGTGTGATTCGACACCGTAACAATCCAATCGCTTCGCATGTTCCAAGAAGTTAGCCTCAGCGTCCGCGGGCGCTTGCCCTTTATGCAACTTGTGGAGTTCGCGTATTTTACGTTCGTCTTCCGCCGTCTGCTTCGGCAATAGACACATTTCTGATAGGTAATTCGGTGGATGCTCTGATACGTTGTAATCGCCTAGTTCCGCTATAAAAATAATAAATTATTAGTTTATGTATTTTATCTTTACTAATATTATAAATGTGTAAGAAAGTCCGTTTGTTACATTATAGCACTTGAACGGATTTTTTTTTTATACAACTTAGAATGGCAAACAAGCTGACGGCCCACCTGATGGAAAGTGGTAACCGTCGTCTATAGACATGAGCAGTGCCATGGACATAACAGAGTATACTGTTTCGTCCATGATACCCCCCCATGCGTTGCCATTCCTGAGGACTCGGGTGTTATTCCTCTATACCCTGTAAATTCACGTCATATCCCACCCTTCAAACCGACACACAGCCATGCAAACACAACTGCTTTACGGTTGAAATACAAATGGGACAGAGGTGCCCAAGCAAACGACTTTTGTACAAAGTCTCCCTCTGGAAAACCGGATCTGAATTAACCGATTATTATAAAATTTGGTATATACATATATACATAAATTTTTTTTTAGTTTTAAAGGTTTTCCTTTCTTCAGGTACATCAGCCCTATCGTAGCCTGAACCTATTTGAGATAGACAAGGATGAAGGAGTCTGTGGACTCCTTTTTATCCCAGTCACGCGAACTTAGTCGCGGGTAAAAGCTAGTGTTTTATAACTACTTAATAAACTCAGTAAAGAATATAAATAATAGATGACAATAATCTCCTTTTTCTATAGTTGGCAAATTAAAGCATGTCTCTTTCGAAATTTAAAATGTGACAACCATGTTGAAAAACAAATTTTGTATACTCTGTCATTAGCCTGAGGACTAAGATATTATGGCTCCCTATTCTGTAATTTCACTGCCATATTCAAAACCTAAACAAAAGACTAGTCATATAAGACATAACACGAGTGAGACAGGGATATTCTATCAGTCGAATTGGGGGGAAGGGACTGTTAGTAATGCGGATACTGGACTATCAGCTCCATTGCTAGCAATATACCCTGTTAGGTCGATCTCCCTTTGTTCCCCCCTGGAAACTATCATGTCGAATTTCGAGGTATATTCATCACGATGGACTAACTGACCTGACTTTTTATCATCACTTATTAGGACCCCGCCAGCGTATACAGTTAACGCAGGCGAGTGTACTATATCTATGTCATCCATTAAAAAAAAAAGCATACAAATTTTATGCTATGCAAAAGAGAAACATGTATTCGCCGATCCTAAGATGACATCATAAAATACAAATAATGGATAATGTGGGTAAATTGCAAATATTTGATAAGCACATTGCCATGTGTAATATCACTCAGTGTATGCTAACATGAGTGCTTTATCTTTGTACATTACAAAAGCGTAATAGCGTAAATAATTACAGAAATATATATTTAATAATATAACATGATAATGTAGATTCAAAGAATTTTTAAGTTTTTAATGATTTAAGTTTAATATGAATTGATATAATACACTTTAAAATGTTTAAAAAATTACCCCTTGATGGGGTTAAATTATATTCTTCAAAGCCATCTACTAAGGGGGGAAAAGGGATTGTTAGTAATGGGGATCAGTAGCCCCATTGCTAGCAATATACCCTGTCAGGTCGACGTCCTCGTGGTTCCCCTTGGAAACCATCGTGATTGATTTATTGTTAGATTCGTCACGATGGGCTAGCTGACCTGCTTCATCCTCACATATCATCGCTCACTGGTGCTCCGCCAGCGTATACCGATAGCGCAGGCGGGGTTACCATTCCATTATCATCCATTAAAAAAAAGCCATTTACTACCAAATAAAGTAGTGACTACACTTAACAATAGATGGCGTAAAAAATATTTTTATACAATAACAGGCGAAGTTGCGAGGACAGTTACCATTAATATAAATAGAATAAAAATTCGTGAACCACATTATATAAAGAAAAAAAAAATTAAATACCTTGAACAGTAAATGATGCTAACAGCAAAGCGGTGCTTTTCGGAGCAGCCATTGTCCCGTCCAGCAGTAGCTTCCTAAGTTGCAAACACAAGAGGTAACGCGTGTACTCCTCAGCTAGTCTGGACGGCTCGGGGGGATAGAAACGTACTGCTAGCCAGAATTGAGCGTTGGTGCCAACTTGCTTCTTGACAGATTTGCTGCCGTCTAACCAACGCTGTAATAAAATTGTTCCTAATAAACTTTTATGTATTGGCGTGTCTAACGGATGGAGAAGTCGAGAGGGGGGGGGGGGGGGTAGTTAAGTAAAGCAAATGTTGTTAATATTAATAATTATAATACTAATGAGTTTATGTCATTGTAAGCCGTCTTTTTTATACGTTTTTTTAGGAAATAAGAATATAACCCGTCTGATGGTAAACGATTACTGTAGCCTATGGACGCCTGTATTAGTAGGGGTGTCACGTGTGTATCGCCGACCCTGAAGAAACTTTAATATATCTTTTTTAAAGAATCCCAACTGCAGTTTCTAGGGAAAATCGTCTGCTTTTAATTATTACTTTTTTTTTTATAATAGCACAACATGTGACTACAAACTTGGGGGGAAAGGGATTGTTAGGAATGGAGATTGACACTGTTTGTAATATGTGCTGGTTCTTAGTATTTAATTATATTATTTATTATATTAGTTGTAAAATAAAATCACCGTCTGTTGACTTGAAGTATATTATCTATTTTTTGTTCTATATCAATTGTTTTATCAATTTTCTTTTTTATAAAAAAACTACAAATGTCATTGTATGTAAAAAGGTCAATTTTGAACAGACACCTCTATTGTTAGCAATATACCCTATTAGGTCGACCTCCACGTGGTTCCCCCTGGAAACCATCGTGAACAATTCTTATTGAATTCGTCACGGTGGGCTATCTGACCTGCTTCATCCTCCCCTATCATCTTCCACTGGTGCCCCTACCGGTGTATACCGATAGTACGAGTGGGGTTACCATTCCATTGTCACCCATTAAAAAAAAACATGTGACTACACCGTCGTGAGCATGAACATGAATACAGTCAATCAAATGGGTCGCACTATGACTTGTTGCTAAATACTTTTTCGCGCAACGTTTAAAGGATCCAAAGTTATAAAGGTCAATTCACAATACCACGGTACATTTCACGTAAGAGTTCGCACTTATTATACGCAAGTACAGACGGTCTACCGTGCTCGTCCACGATATCGTTACGTTATCATGAACGAAGCATTTTCATCGTCATCAACTTTTTTTTTATACAACTTAGAATGGTATACAAGCTGACGGCCAACCTGATGGAAAGTGGTAATCGTCGCCTATAGACATGAGCAGTACCATGGACATAACAGAATATACTGTTTCGCCCATGTTACTCCCCATGCGTTGCCATTCCTGAGGACTCAGGTTTTATTCCTCTGTACCCAGTAAATTCATTTCATAGAATTTTACGATTACAATGAGAAAATTAAAAGAAATCGTGCCATGTGTTTAGATAAACTATACCCTTAAACATGCTTTTCAAGATACTATTAAAGAGTAAACCTGTGAGTCACTGATGATTAACAATAAGTGGAAATGTCGTCATCGATACAGCCAGTTCTGTTATCTATTTGCGATTAAAAATTAATTGTGGTATTAGTTATCGGGTCATTTCATTTCTTGTCTGACAATTCATATATTTACTATTCTATACAATAAAGATATAGGTAAGATAAGGGTTGCTTGCCAACTAGTGATTTTACGACAAAACTAATATTGATACTTATATTAAAATGATATCATATTTCTGATTACTGTCATTTATCAAGTCACTTAAAAAAAAAAAAGAGATTCTTATTTCAAATGTATTTTACTTTTTGTTTTTTACTTTACAACACAGTTATTTATAAACCATATCATTCAAAGTATATTCATAGTTTTTTTTTATACAACTTAGAATGGCAAACAAGCTGACAGCCCACCTGATGTAAAGTGGTAACCGTCGCCTATAGACATGAGCAGTACCATGGACATAACAGAGTATACTGTTTCGCCCATGATACCTCCGATGCGTTGCCATTCCTGAGGATTCAGGTGTTATTCCTCTGTACCCAGTAAATTCACGCTATATCCCATCCTTCAAACCGAAACACAGCCATGTAAACACAACTGCTTCACGGTTGAAACACGAATGGGACAGAGGTACCCAAGCAATCGACTTTTGTACAAAGTCTCTCTCTGGTTTATAAAGCAGTTTATCATCAGACGCGCCGTATGCTTGTTTACAAACATAATAGTATTAAAAAAAAGTTTACCGTTATCTCAGTGTTTGTAGCATTGGGTGGTGAACCATTCTCAGTGAATTGCAATCCAAAGTAGTCTTTTTCAACCAGTTCCAGATGTTGGTATACTTGTTCTAAAAGGACACTTCCCTTGGCTTTTTTCTGAAAATAAATAAAAATTATCAAAATTACACAATATGTTACCTCCTCCACAGGGCTTATTCCAACAAAGTGTCGGGAGATAAAAATATGTAACTTAATGAGACCTCTTGCAGTTCCAATAAGCGTATAAAAGAAAATATCATCATTATCATCATCATCATCATCATCATATAAGCCTGTAACTGTCTATTGTTAAACTGAACATAAGCCTCCTCCTCAGGGGGTTTTGCCAGTAGTTGCCACACTTGGCAGGCAGGTTGACAACCACAGTCAGCCTGTAGAGATGTTTTAAGAGGCATGCTGCTGCCCATCCCTCACCCTCCTTAGTTGGCTCTCACAACACCCACGGAATAGGAAGGGTTGGTTTATTCTATGCAGGGACCACACAGTTAGAAAATAAAATATATGTGTATAATATTAATTGTTGTTGTTATATCATCCGTTAACTGTCCATTGCTGAACATAACCTCCCCCATAGGGGGGGGGGGGTTGATCAGTAGTTAGCATGCATGGCAGACGGGTTGCCAACCGGCTTTTTTTTTAATCAAATTTTTGTTGAGACTTTAGTACATCGGAGTGACTATGCCAGCCTCATAGGGATTGCTTGAAAGTCAGTCTGTCAAGTTTGGCTTTTGGTAATGTTTTAAGAAGTATAGTATTAGTAAATGGAAATGGGATGGAAAAGAACAATCAATATATATATATATATATATATATATATATATATGTTATTATTGCAGTTTATTTGCTAAAGTAAATCCTTCATTAATATTATAAATGCGTAAGTGTATATCCCAGGCATATAGTCCTGGTCATGAGTCATAAATAAATACTTGTATTTTTACAATTACTATAAAGTAACAATTTAACAGTATGGGACAGAACTACTAGGAGGACAGAACCTAAATAAACTGGGATAATAGCCAAGAGAAAGAAGAAATAGAAGAAGAACAATTAAACAGTATACCTCATGAATAGACAAATAATTAAAGCATTTCAATGATTTACTACAGCCTTCAAAACAAAAACATTTCCATATAAGTAAGTAAGTGCTAAACTAATAACAGGAAATTTGTAATTTCCAATTTAAGAGTGCATTATCATGGTTATTCATTCCTCACACATTATTCATATAAATAAACATTTGTTGATTTGAAATATAAATTGAACAAAATGAAATATAAATTGGTTTTTAAATTTTTATTACAGTATATGTGTACTGTATCATAAAATATTTATTTATTTATTTTAATATAATAATAGATTTTTGCCTGCTATTCCATACACATAGATTTTAGAAGTAGGAAAATCAATAAAAAAGAGCACTTCTATAGTAGTTTTTGTGTAATGCTGGAAATGTACAGATAGACAGACAAAATGTTTAAGATATACTGTTTTTGCATTTATTACTCTTTTGTATGTGTGCAATGTAATGAACATACAATAATGATTTACAACAACAGCTATCAGAGGTAGACTATACAAAAGTGTTTGCCATGCTTGGAAAAAAATAAAAACAATTTATTAAAATATTTACAAGTTTATTTAAATCATCATCTTTTACGATTTCTAGTCATTACATGTTGCATATAAAAGTAAACCACTAACTAGTATGTCACAAATAATGACAAAATAACTTATGAGTTTTAATGGATGAGAATGGAATGGTAACCTCACCTGTGTACATGCTACAGGAGCACCAGTGATATAGAATAGGTGAGGATAAAATCAAATCAGTTGGCCCATCATGACAAATTTCACAAGAATTAACCATGATGGTTTCCAGGGGATCCACATGGAGGTTGAAATAATATATGATATATTGCTAGCAATAGGGCTATTAAACCCCATTAGTAATAATCCATTTCTCCCCCTAAGAGTTTAATGGCAATACACATGAAGTAACCTTCTATGTTAAATTGTGTATATTGCACATTCTCATAAAAATATGTTAATACCAAAGAGAATGAAATAGCATTTAATACACAACAATAATCAGGAATATTTATAGAAACCCAGAACCAATTAAATAAATAACAAAGAGGTAAAGTTTATTTACAGAGTTACTATTTTATGTATTAAAAATAAGCTTTAGAGAGACTATTATTCGCTGAATGTAAATTATGCACTATATATTTGACAATGCAACTTAATCTATAGCACAACCATCCTTATATTTATCAAATAGGTAATCCTCAAGAATCAAAATTGGGTAAAGTGAACAGTAGTAAGGGTATTCACTTAAAAAAGTTGTAATATTCTTTACAGAAATGAATTTTAACAAAATAGTCTTAAAAATTTTAATAATCTATAAATGAATATATTAAAAATTATATTGAAGAGACTTATTGACCTACTGTATTATCAAACAAGTTAATGGAGGTTAATTATATGAGATATCTATGCTCATTTCAGGGTTATGGTTCTATATTTAAATTTTTTTTTTTTTAAACAATTTGAAAGCAAAAGCAGTCATACAATAAAGTTCAAAGAGCTCACCTCGATTTGAAACGAATGCTGGGTCTCGTCCAAGAATTGCACTGTGACATTGAATATGTTGAGCTTACGTTCCCTCGCAAGCTCCGAAGCACGCACGTTGTATGTGCCGCTTGAACTACTGAAGGCACGACGCGAAACGCTCTCGATCATCTCATCTATTACTCACTTTACCGGATTCCTATCAGATAAGTCAACGCCCGGCAAAGGCGAATCCTCGTTACGTGCACTCACAACTATGTAGGCACATAAGTAAAGCAACAATTAACCTCGTAGTGAATCATTCGCACTGTCGCAGTCGTTACCACTTAATTACACATATTTGGCGACCCAGCCGGTATTCTCGACGTAGTAAACGGCCATGACGTAATGATCTACGCAAATTTTAACTCCGAACGTAAGAACTAACCAATTATTATGATGTTTACGAATGTCCAATTGTAAACTGAGTCCTTGCCATTTATATTATTTGTAATTGAATATCAGGACAATGGTAGCTAATAACTGACAGTGGATGATTTATCAGATATAATAGATATATGTTTAGTTGCCCTAAATTTCTGTAAATTATTGTAAAATAATTTTGGTCGATATTTCCTTTATAAGAGAGCAGTAAATTGATTGAATGACTGACTGACTGACAATTTTTTTACTTTGCCGACTGACACTTCTATTGAAAGAATGACAGTGACGTAAATGACGTTAAATACTTCGCCATATTGACATTTGAACGAGGACCATGGATTAAGGATGGATAGAACCTAAGTCATAACTATTGCTACTATCCATCCTTACTTCCTCCTTCGACATATAAAGGTCATAACTTTATACGATAAAGACAAAAAAATATTCTTCTAGATCAGTCCTCTGTATTGACGTATATATTTTTCAGAATTATTTCCTGACCCCTAAATCAAGGCACATTACAAGAACTACATTTTTTGTTGATTAGAGAATAACAGCGCCATCTATTCTGAAAAATTATTCAATTTGTAACTGACTTTACAATGTTGAAACTTAAAATTCGAGTTTATTTTTTTCTTTCAAAAATTATATTATGCGTTATCTTTGTTAAACTAGATATTTTCAATTAGATTCTGTTATTCCTTTTTTTAAGTCAAATAGTTAATTCTAAACCAATATTGATATTATTTTTACAATTGATAAGATTGGTCCCATATTCGATAGCTAGGTATTTTGTTGTTTAGTTTAATATTTTATATTTTTAGAAATACGTTACTTTTTGTGATTATAATTGTACTGGTATTCAGTAACACATTGTTGCTTCACAAATGAAAAAAAGTAACTAAATTTAATTCGTCACGAAGGTAATTTTTTTTTCATGGATGAATATAGAATGATAACTGCGCCTGTGTTATTGGTTTACTCTGGCAGGGTACCAGAGAAGGTTGATAGGTGAGCATTATTAAGTCAGGTCAATTAGTTCATCGCGACGAATTCATCAAGACTTGAAGACGATGTTTCTCCTTCTTATGTGTGTACAGTATAAATCAAAGTCGCTTCCTGTCGTCTGTACGCGTAGATCTTTTAAATTACACAAGAAATTTTAATGCAGTTTTCATCAATAGATAGAGTGATTTAAAAGATAGATTTATATTGAGTTAGTTCAATATTGTTTTGTGTTAATTTGTTAAAATATGACGACAATTGTTCAAAATGTAGAAGAAATAAGGTCGACTGAAAGCTTTCATCGAAAATGTTAAAATATAACGAAAAAATGTATGATGAAATTGTTCCTCTTTATTAGGGATTACAAAAAGTCAGCGATGACATTTTATATTATACAGGTTTCTATAATCTTTTTTTTTTTTATACAACTTAAAATGGCAAAATAGTTGACGGCCCACCGGATGGAAAGTGGTAACCACCGCCCATAGACATGAGCAGTACCATGGACATAACATATAATAATATATAATTCATAAATGTTAAAAAAAAAAATACAAATTATGTGGTGTTTGAAAAGCTATTTAGACGGACAAAATAGTAACAGTATTAATCATTTCGCACTGACACTACATTATTTCTACATTGCATCCGTGCGAAGCCAGAGCGGGTAGTTAGTGTAAGTTAAATTACACTGTGATAATCGTCTGATGCGTTTCCATTACATTTTATCAATATGATTTTTTTTTATTTAAGAGTTTTCTCTTCTAGCCAGCTCTTTATATGTCCCATATACTTATTTCTCGGTTAGAGGTTACATGAAATAAAATAAAACAAACATTCAAACAGTTATCTGTCTTTATTCTGCATCACTTCTTAACCAGCAGCCATAATCATTCGTTCGGTACCATTATAGGAAGAAAAATTAATACACTATTACATACTGTTACAGTTTGGTTTGAATATGTGTTACAGCTGAATTTATGTGTAAGTAGATTTTATTAATTGTATTACTATTTTATTACATATGGATCATGAAAACCAGGGTGCAACGCGATTTTGCCATGTAATAATTTTAGGCATAAATTACGGGACTAGCTGTTCTTTTAGTTAAATTATATCATTTGTACTTAGCATCCTATGCTTTCTTCTATTACACTAATGTTTGTTGGAATCAGGTTTTTTTACAGTTCATTAATAAAAAAAGAATTGTCCTTTTTGACTTTTTTTTCCTTCGCTACATGGTTGAGTTCATCGTAAGAAAAATCTAAAGGTCTACGATTTCATTTTTTTTCTTAATTGTTTAGTAAATAAACCTGATTCTTTATAAGTACAGATTACGCGCAATACCGCATCGCACGATTTTAAGTCACTGTATACCGTACTGCTTTTTTTGTGTATATTGTAGTGGTGTGATGAAGTCGATAAAAAATTCCGTTGAGTGTAATTTTTTGTTTTATGGCCAAACTTCCCTTTTTAATACACATTTTTTTTGCACTTGTAATAATTTTTGAAAATATAAATTTTGATAATATTTTATTTTCCTTTGTTCCTAAATATTAATCCAAATAGTTTTATTAACCTTAATATTGTATTTACAATTTTTCAACAGCCGAAAAATATGTTCAATTTTTATAATATTATTTTTTAACGACTCTTGTTAAGTAGTAGGTAACAGTACAAATATTAATGATCACAAGTTGGTTTTCATTGGTCATTAACATACATTACATTACAGCCTTATTTACTATTGGTAATACAGTTAACAGTAGGTCTTAAATTGAAAACTCTAACTAAATTATTTACATAAGAATTCTATCAATTATTAATACATTATGATAGAATTTATACAAATTCTAAATGTATAAATAAATTCTATGAAATTCAGTTCATTTAGTAACAGATTAGCTGTTATATAGCTAAGTTTCATAGGCATAAAATAATGTTAAAATATATATGACACTTTTCCAATAATTCTTAGTTCAATAAAAAATGTTCTTATAAATTGGCTTTACAAGTTGCGTATTTTTATAATCATCTACTTTGTATTGCAATAACAATATACACTCGAGAGCAATGAATGCAGGTCACCCAAAGAAACTTATAAATCTTGAAAACTAAGAATGCTAGCTTAATAACATAAACGGCATTTAATAGACAATAAAATACCCCTTAAATGAAAGTAATAAAATTTATAAATCACTACATTGTACTTATTAAAAATTACATAAAGAAAAAAAAACTGCTGATCTCGCCTTAAAACAAAAGTAGGAAACATGATATTTTTGAACAACAATATGATTTTTTTGAATTTTAATACTTTGTATTGCTTCCTCTTGCTTCCATTACTATGTTTACAGGGGTTGTCATGCTGTACACCAAGTTTCTTATATGATTTTGGCAAATATTCTCCCATCCTATGTGAGCCCAATTTTGTTGTTTTACGTATCTCCTTAGCTGATATCCGGGCTGCGTGCTGAACTTCGAAACCGCGTCCTTTTTTAAATTAGATTTTTTTATGGCATAACTTTGCAGTAACTAAGAAGTTTTAATACCTTAATTTAAGGAGTATTTAATTGTATACTAAAAACAATTTATTTCACCAAGCTAGCATTCGTAATTTCCTAGATTTATAGATTTTTTTAAGTGACCCGGATTCATTGCTCTTGAGTGTAGATAAACAATATTGCTGCTGTTAGTGACTTGTATAAAGGAATTACTGAATTGACTAAAAAGAACCTTATTGTTGAAAAGCGCCATAAATATGGTAGAGTGGATTAACAATATATCGGAAAAAACATGTGCATACTTTTTGGAAATCGTAACCACTTAAAATATACTAATAATTGTCAAATTTAAATTTTTTTTTGGAAATTCTATATATAATATATATGTATAATAATATTTCAAAATCTACATTTCCAAATGCGAGGCAATTTTATTAGTTTAACATTATTAACCCAAATAAATATGTACATTGTTATTTTAACTTGATTTTTAAGACCATCTGTTACGTGTATTTATATGGAAAGTGCAGTTATTATACCAAAAAAAATCATTCATAATGTTTCATAATTATACAACAGAACACTGTTAAGATCGCCAAAAATCCAACTTGAGACTACAATTTTTTAAAAAAGCTATCAAAATTATAATTAATCGAAATAAAACTAGTAATACATTTTATTGAAATAAAATTACGGAAACAATATTTACAAGTTATGACGATTTCTTTAATTATTATACTATACATATCGGTTTATACCTACCTATTAACAAAAAACCTACTAAAGATAAAAAAAATCTCAGTAGGCCACTAAGACTGACGACACAGTAACTACTTTCATAATATCGATATTATCATTATAACTATAAAGTGCAACATTCGCTAGAAGAACGAAACAACTCAAGAGTATTTTAATAAATTAATGTATCATCTACATTACAAATTTATCGCCGAGAGTTAAATGTATTGTACTTATTTACAAAATGCAATATTTTTACAAAAAACTGCTAATACTAGAAATACCCACATTTCACCGAGTTTTTACTTCACCATGTCGCTGCATGTCTCTTTACCATTATTAGCACTTATATGCACTCTTCTGATATCGTAGGAAATATCTAATACTGTGGTATACTTATGTATCTATGAAATGTTGATTTATAGTAGTTCAAAATTAGTAGAAATCAACTGGTTTAATTCATGGTAGCAAAGTTTTGGAACGGATTTAACAAAAGAATATGCATCAATGAGTAATATAGATACTCGCCAATTCTTTAATTTGTACTAAAACACCTACATTATATTTTAATGACATTCCATTCATTTCTATTTTAGACTATTTCGAGACGAATATTTCAGTCAAAATTTGTTATTTTACATTTTATTATATACCCTTAATATTATGCACTTCCCATTCTTACATTGGCTGGAATTGCGCAAATAATTGCGCTAAGGCCAGTTTAATACGTTAAAATTAATTTTGAAAATCGAACCGACGAACACCTTTCTAAGTAAGACACTATCGATGCAAATCATAACGTGAATATCGAGACGAGTTCTTAAAACTATGTGCAAAGTTGCAGCCTCCAAGCGAAATTATCGACATCGATATTTAGTCACTCATCTCGTCTCTAATTTTCAAGAACTTAACTAATGTTGTTTTCGATTAATGAGTTTTTTTTTAATGTCATGGACAAAGTGATTCCATAATCCTTGTTTTATTCTTTTAGACCATTCCTTTTGACATCATTCTGACGGTATTCTTCAAAGCTTGACGTTTGTTGCAGAACCATATTCGGATGACTTCTCGTTCATAGCCTAGTTGGTGCGCCAACCCAGTGATCTCAGTTCCTGAAAATTGAAAAACAACAGTTTATTTTTTACGCATTAGGAATATCAAAGAAACTTATGAACTATGTAAAACGTGGTGACCATTACATATTGACATAATTATTACTGAATACTAATTCCGCGTTCACCGCTAAGAAAACCCCATTTGCTGTGGTTCCACAGTTCCAAGGCACGTCTTTTAACATCTCTAAAAGCATTGGGATCCTTGGTGTCGACATCTCTAGTGATGTACAATTCCGTGGCCACCTCGAAGATAAGGTGAAGCTGGCATCCAAAAAACTCGGTGTGGTCAATAGAGCGAAGCATTACTTCAATGCTCTACAAATCGCAAATCCGGCCCCACATGGAATATTGCTGTCACTTATGGGCCGGAGCACCTAAATATCAGCTTGAACCTTTCGACTCGTTGCAACGACGAGCTATGAGAATTGTCGATGATCCCAGGCTCACAAGCGGTATCGAACCCTTAACGCAGAGTGAAGCAAAATCTCAGGAGAGATTTTGCTTCACTCTGCGTATTCTACCGCATGTTTGTGCTCAGAGGAATTGTTCAATATGATATGAACAAACGTGCTAAAAGTTATTAAAAATTTTATAAAATAATTGCGTAAAAAGAGTTTTATGCAATTATTATAGACTTTTAAAATAAGAATTTAGTTATATATATATATATATATATATATATATATATATATATATATATATATATATATATATATTATCTAAGTAAACCTACCAGAGGGATGTGTGTTCCTCTCAAAATGTGCATTGAGTAACTCCAATGCCTGAGGGGTAAATGACGTCCGCCGTTTGCGTTTCTTGCTCGGTTCCATTCCTATGAAGTCTGTTAGGTGATTTTGACCAGACGCGTACCTGAAATGATAGAATTTCTTTTTCAATATAAAATAAAAATAAAAGAAACGGTTTGATTAAAATAGTCGAGGCCGTGTTATAAAACGTTACGTACGTAGAGTTCTGAGGTTTCGCCTGCAGTTCTTGTTTGTACTCTGAATGCCTAGTGTGAGTTTATTTTTACGTTTATAGGTTTGCATCGAAAACTTAACAGCGTCTCTTGTTTTTTATATATATTTTAAGAAGAAAACTGAAGAACTAATATGAGCTAATGAGCTCCCCATTAGCTCATATTAGGAGTCTCAATTGGTGCCACTTTACTACATTTTGCATACTTACGAGTACATAAAATTTTTAATTTTTTAAATATGTTTCGCCCATCACATATCTATTAATGATTATAATATATCTGTAATTATTACGCATTATAGTCAGATATGTACTGTTTTTATATGTGTGTTTTCTGGTCAGTGTATATCAATAACTACTAAAAACCTCCCCTATTTTTTTTTTCTATACTTTTAACGACGCTGTAGTTATTTGGGAAAGTATAAAAAAAATATGAAACTAATTATAAGTTTCTATGTCGATTTAGTCATAGAAAAATAATTTTAAAGTTATAGGGTGTAAACCCAATATTCCAAAAACTAATTAAGTCAGGGATTTGATAATTCAAAAATGATTTCCAACAACTAGCTATTTATTAAAGGCAGTAACGTCAATAAAGACGTTAGTGCAGATTTCATATGGAAACACGGTGAGACCCTTAGGGTGGAAAACAAACCTTTTTAATAAAAACAAATCATACAAACTGGCCTAGGAATCTAAAAAAAAAAAAACGATGTACTTAAATAAAAAAAAAAAAACAAACCACCCGAATATATAACTACTTCGTTTTGACGTCGGTAAATAATCGTAGAGTAGAGTAGTCGCTACACCATAACGTTAAATGCACAGGGAATAACAGTCATGATAAAAAAAAATATGAAAAAAAAAAACAAAAATAATACATGTACGCGGAGTTAAAATGATCTTCATGCAAACTTTTTAAGAACTTTTTATTATTATAGAAAACTTTATTTTTGTGCGATTTAAGAAGGGGAGGGGAGAAAGGATTGTTAGTAATGCGGACCAGTCCCATTTCTAGCAATATATCGAGTCGTTATTCCTGGTCTATTCATCACAATGAGCTAACTGATCTGCCTTTTCAAATCACCTATAATCCCTCACTGGTGCCCCGCCAGCGTATACCGTTAGCGTAGGCGGGGTTACCATTCCATTGTCATCCATTAAAAAAACCCTATGATGGAGCTAAAGCTTGATAGTTGGTGCGCACCTCGAATTTTTAAAATGATTATTTCCTGCACAGATTATTTATTAATCTACGTATAGAATTTATTTATCGCGCGATATTGTTTCATAATGCGTATATCTTCATAATATGTTTATTTATTTATACTTTTGCACACACTAGAACATGTCCACAGGGCGGACTTAATGCCTGATGGCATTCTCTATCAGTGAACCGTTACGCTAAACAAAGAGAGAGTAAATGGAGGTGCATAGATTAAGAAAAAATTGTAAATTAAATAAATATTTTAAAAGATAACAATTTATTTATTTATAACTTAAATGTGTAAAGGCGAAGTTACACCAAAGAAATAATAATGTTATTACATAAGCTACCATAATGATTTGTATCATTGTGATAGAACTAAAATAATCTATTAACAAGACATAAGCAATATACTTAACATGCAGTACTTAAACATGCTAGAATTTTTTTAATTTAACATCTACTTATATGCAGGCAAAAGAATATATAAGTAAAGCACTATTCTAGAATAAGAATTAGTGTTTAATCATATATTCCACACTTATTTAAAAAAAAAACTGTTTAATGAATGTAAAAATAAATACGAATAAAACATGTTTTTAATATAAATTTTATTTTAAGTACTTATAGATGAGGATGAAGATAGTTTTCCAGGAAGGATCGCGCTAAATTCGATCTGTCTGGAAAATTGTTAGCAATGAAATTGTTAGTTTCCATTACAAATTTTATATGTCTGATGTATATGTAAGTAGAAATGTATTGCAAGGAAACAATGAATGCAGATGACTCAGGATCGTTCCTTGTGGCAGTCTATGGGCTAGAACAGTGGTTTTCAACCATTTTTATGAAAAGACCCCCTCCCCCCCCCAATATGAAAAAATATTTCGCGACCCCCTTTTCGTTTTTTTTTCATGTTACAAAGATGTTGTAAGGACTGAATACTTCAATCCATACGACATTTTTACGCATTTGCATAATTAGGTTTCGGATAAATACAGAATTAAGTATAATATGTAGTATGTTTATTTTTTTTTTACTGTGGTAGTTTTCGCGACCTAGAGACGTATAGAGGCTTTGCGATCCATACGTTAAAAAACACTGAGTCAGAACGTCTACGTCTAAAGTCTACGTCTTTCCCCATATCATATAATACTTTTATATTAAAATTCTCATATTATCGGTTTAGGTGTTAAGAGGTAACAAACAAACTCATGTGATAAGTAAGGAAGAATTGCCTGATACAAGTTTCCTTTTATGTAAACACTGATCCAGTTTTGGTCTTACGTTCCATGGAACCCTTTTATTCTTTATATACATATTTTTTGTATGTACTCAAATTGATACTCAACAATTAAAGTTTACGACTTAAGTCGAAGAAAATAACGTTCCAATTATCTTCAGAGGGTAAATGCTATTAAAATATGAATGATGGTTAATATTGGTTACTAAAGACACTTGTACTCTTTTACAATTTATCACAATATATACCTGGAAGCTATTTATTTATTTATGTAAATAATTTTATTGACTAAAAGAAAATATAGTACAGAAGGTGGACTTAATGTTAATAGCATATATGCGTAGGAAATATTTGTAACGAATGTGCATGAATGACTATGGTTTGACAGATTGAAAAAACAAATTTTTGATTTATTATAATTTTAAGAAAACTTTTAATATACATAGTAACACGGAGCAACTAATTTTCGTTTTGTAAACCCTTGATCACACACATATGTATATAATTAGATAGATACATAAAATATCAATAATATGTACATAAATAAAGTATAAAAATAAAATATGATACTAGCTACTATTGTTGTAATAAGTTCATAAGGCGAGCATGGATTTTTTAACATGATTATATATGGAAGTTCTCGGACCTATTAAAACTATTAAAACCTTGAGGGGTTTAGGTTAAGTAGTTAAGTAGTGCCAATTCGCAGTACAGTTCCATTTAATGTAAAACTTGATGGTCGGTCGTTAAAAAAAATTAGACAAGAAATACTAGATGGCGCTGTAAGTCAAAAGTCTCGCACTTGTGGTCTTTGTAGATTATTTTGTAATTAAAATAATTTTTGTAGTAAAATTTCTAACTTGATACGTGGTTTTTATAAGTATAAATGTGAATATGTTCTAGTATGTTTTTTTTTACAAAGTTGTGCAACATAAAAGAATAAACCACTCACTTAGAAATTTTGCCTTATATTATCTTTAATTACAAAATAATCAATAAAAACCACGATTCTAGTGCCATCTAGTATTTCGTGTCTTATTTTGTTTAGTGACCTTAAGGTTTTAGGTACTCATAATAAGCCTCGATTTCACTTTTCAAGACATTATTTTATTTCTTTTTAAGGTTGAGCGCATTTCACCACAATCCATCTGATATTAAGTGATACGTAATCCAAAATGAAGCATGCAAACCCAAATAATATCTGTTCCCTCTAGAGTTTAAGAACGATAGATTATATGAGTCGAGAAGTACAGACGCCGGGGAAGAATTTCATTCCAAAAGTTTATCTACATTTTCTGATTCCTGACGATGAAGATGATCAATTTGTTTCTATCGACGATCACAAGGATATCATAATGATATTAAACAACGAACCTTGCTCTGGTTTTATTACGCCAATATCATTTGAATGTATCCATAAATGAATTTTTAGTAAGAATAGGCTCACTGAGTTAGAACTGAAAGATGTTAAGCAATATTAAGCACGGAAGGTGGAAAATTTATTTATTTGAAATTTTACTGACCAATAAGATGTGGTACAAAAGACGGACTTAATACTATAGGCATTCTCTACCAGTCAATCTTTAAGATGTGCAGAGATACTCAATGGCGGTTAAAAAAAATTAAATTGTTTATATTTTAGTACAAGATAGTAAATTACATACATAAAATAAACATACTAAATTACAATTTAATTTGATAAAAATGAAAATTAACTTTAATAAAACCGTAGAATGTGTCAATTTAGTTGTTAATACTGTTTGTTGTCTGAATTTTGTTATCAGATAATAGTATCACCTCTTTAAATAGATTTTAATTAAAATATAACCAAATTTAGTTGAAATTATCATAGAGTGTGTCTAAATGAAATTAGTAACAAAAACAATACATTCAATGAATTGATTTTTCATTCGTACTTCTATTGAGACATTAGTAGACTGCTTATTGTCAAGTCATTTATTTATTTGTTTATAATAATAATAATAAAGTAGTTTATTCTCTTCACAACACCAGTAGTAAATACCTCTATGAATATAATTCAATATAAGTTATTACAAGAGATTTATTTTAATATGTAACACAATTTAAAGTATTGTGAAGAACTTCTGTCTGAAGTAGGATAAACCTGTGTTACAGATCACCAGGTCCTCACCCCACGGTGTTAGCAATTTGATCTGGTTATGGTATATAATAGCAAGATTAATATACATACCTAACCTTATATATTTGATATATTCTACACGCACTTATAATTTCTGTAATTCTGTATTTTTATGATAATAAAAAATAAAATTATTATTATTATTTTAGATTTATTTTATTAGGTAACGCAACTAAATTATTGTGAAGAACTTCTGTCTGAAGTAGGATAAACCTGTGTTACCAGGTCCTCACCCCACGGTGTTGGTAATTTGATCTGGTTATGGTATATAATAGCAAGATTAAAATACATACCTAACGTTATATATCTCACCAGAGGGAGATTTTGTACAAAAGTCGTTTGCTTGGGTCCCTCGTTCCCGTTCGTGTTTCTACCGTGAAGCAGTTGTGTTTGCATGGCTGTGTTTCGGTTTGAAGGGTGAGATATGGCATGAATTTACTGGGTACAGAGGAATAACATCTAAGTCCTCAGGAATGGTAACGCATGAGGGGTATCATGGGCAAAATAGTATACTCTGTTATGTCCATGGTACTGCTTATGTCTGTAGGCGACGGTTACCACTTTCCATCAGGTGGGCCGTCAGCTTGTTTGCCATTCTAAGTAGCATAAAAAAAAGAATATACTACACAGTTACACATACATTTATGATGCCTAGATTTAGCAGTGGTCAGTAAATGGCTGATGTGATGACGATTTATTATCTTAGTGGTGGTGGTTATTGGTAATTAGTGTAAAAGCAATTGTATTTTTGCACAATTGTGTGGAAGAGTACAAATGTTTAACGATTTCAATGATTAATTTATATTCGAAGCACACAATAAGTTTTAGATTATATCCTTCATAATTACTATTAACACCAACACCGGAACCTGAAACGGTGACGCGGCAAAAACTGGAAGATCTCATATTAATTCAAGGACTGTCGTTAACGGGGCGCTCGTTAAAATTACCACCAAGAGGATAGATTGCAAATTCAATGCACCATTTGCAATGTTAAATCCGTCCCGTTGCATTCAGATAATGCATTTTAATGATGCAAAATGTAAAATCGATAGATCCCGCACCTCTTATAACGATATTACGCCAGTGCTGTAGATTTAAGTCACACCTGCTTTGTTTATGAAATGTTTAAACATACATTTTGTTGTTCTGTTTTTATACGTTTTTAAAAGAGATACCGTTTTTGTCATACAAACGTATTCCCTTGTTTTCTCCCTGGATATTAAAGCGAAACTTTTATAATGTAAACTTTTTTTGAAAAAGAGTATTTTTTGACCATGGTACTGCTCATGTCTATAGGCGATGGTTATCACTCTCCATCAGGTGGGCCGTCAGTTTATTAGTCATTCTAAGTTGCATAAAAAACTATACAATTTCTATCTATCTCTTTCATGTATTCTTTTTTTTTTAATATTAGTCACTATAAATAAAAAAAAAATTATAAAAACAAACATTATAAAATTTCGTCAAATCCTATGGCTGTAATGAAACATCTCGCCCTGTGATCCCGGCATAGAATAAGCCATCCCTTGTTTTTTTGTAGGTGTAGTAAAAGCCGACTACGGGTGGGCGATGGATGGGCAGCAGTGTCTCTCTTAAAATATCTCTAAAGCCTGAGTGCGGTTGCCAATCTGCCTACCAAGCGTAGCAACTACTAGCAAAGCCCTCCAAAGGGGAGTCTTATGTTCACCAGTTGACAATTAAACGCTGATATGATGATGATGATGATGATGATGAATGAAATATTTGTCAAATAAACATGGTTATAAAAAAGCAATTAAAGACATAGGGGTATATAGCCAAAAGGCTTCCTGTATTATTATTGAAAACATAATTAAAATTAGATTAGTATTGGACGAGAATAAAGAGGGAATAAGGAATGACTATTTTGGGTATTTTATAGGTATTTATTAAACCGAGTTATAGTTCTCTCAGAGAGTTATACATAGTTCTCTTCCAGAGTCGTACACGGAGATTTGCAAAATACCTATTCATCAAAGACCCGATTTATCTTAACAAAATGTCTAAAGAAATATGAATGGGCTATCCAAAAGAAGAAGGTTCACAATTATATTAAATTTTTTTGATTTTTACTTACACATTTTTTTTTCAATTAATAGAGTCTACTCTCTCTTTAGTTTCTCAGGGGTCCTCCCCTGATTGATTACCCCTCAGGGATTGTTAGTAATGCGGACTACCAGTCCTATTGCTAGCAATATACCCTGTCAGGTCGACCTTCACGTGGTCCCTGGAAACCATCGTACTGAATTCCTGATGTATTCATTACGATGGGCACTTGACCTGCCTTTTACACCTCATCCTCTTCAGCCCTCACCTATTATCTCTCACTGGTGCCCCGCCAGCATAAACCGTTAGCGCAGGCGGGACTATCTTTCCATTGTTATCCATTAAAAAAAACTCTCTTTGGTCCACATTTAATTTTGTGACGACTGTAGGTGTCGTTTGTCTTTTAAAAATTTATATGTATACATACAATATTTAGAGTGTAGAGTATCTATGAAACGTCGTTGTACGGTATCTACGGTTTTGTCTTTTTGTACATTACGTTTTGTACATAAAGGTGGTGGCGTGTTTTTTTTTATGCAATTTAGAATGGCAAAAAAGCTGACGGTCTACCTGATGGAAAGTGGTAACCGTCGCTTATAGACATGAGCAGCACCATGGACGTAAACGAGTATAGTGTTTGAATGAAACAGATGTTAGGCATGTTTTTTTAGTAAGACGTCTAAACATGTATTGAACATTTGTCTATCGCAATTTAATTTTTTTTTTTTTTGTAAGACACTAAATGTCCATACACAATGATAACCAAATCATTAGCATCCTTTTAACGAAGTGTTCCATCAATGTAACTAAAAATGTCACAAATAAATCTACATACAGTAGATACAGTTGTTCCAGGAATTTTGAAATTTTCTGGTATTATATATTATTTGTGACGTTGATCAACGTTTGCCAGAAATATTTTCAAATGCAACATTAAAAATACTTTTTGAAAATATTGTTTGTTGAAATTTCGAATATCCCATATTAATCTGACATATGGATTCGTCTTGTTAGTATCATTATCATATCAGCCTTTAATAGTCCATTTCTGAACGTAAGCCTCCCCCTTAGGGGTTTTGCCAGTAGTTGTTACGCTTGGCAGGCGGATTGACAACCGCAATTATTTGCGGCTTTGGAGATGTTTTAAGAGGGACGCTACTGCCCAATCCTCGCCCTTCTTAGTCACCTCTTACAACACTTATGGGAATGGAAGGGGTGGTCTATTCCATGCCGGGATCACACGGCCAATGCCAATGGGAAAAATGTACAATTTCAGTGTTAGAACACTCTCCTATAGGATGCTAATGTTTGATATTTTACCAGCACATATTTTTGAAGTAATCAAAATCGAACTGAATGTGGGTCGGAATCCATATGTTGTTTGTTGGTTCAATTGTCTAAACTAGGAAATAATAAAATTTGGTGTACTATATAGGAGGCTTTTTCCTGTAACGTAATATTAATACTAAGTCTAGATTTATCACTATTTACTAATATCTATTAATTGTATTACTAAGTAAACACAATTCTCTAATATATTGTGCAGTATAAATTTATTATTTATATTTATAATATATTCCCATTCTTGGAATGATTGACAAATAAAACAAAAACAACAACGCTGTTATTGGATTTTTAATTCTATCGCCAGATCAGTAGGTGCATTTTGTTTATCATTATTACTATTTTTAAAGTAGTTACATACATCGAGTTGCATTGAAATTTATGTTAATTTTCATCCGATCCCAAAGATATGTCCATATCATTTAATAGATCTACATTGCAATATAAATAATAAAATACTGCATTGTAAATAAACATAAAAAGGAGTATAATATATATATGTTTGGTTTAGTCACGAATTTACCAAATGTTGGAATGTATATTTAAAGATCATTAGATGTGGACATTCCAAAATTTGGTAATTATGATTATATAATAATTAATAATATTAGTACAACATTAGCGAATACAAATAAACATAATGCCTAGCCCGTACAAGCAATAGTATTAGTCCAGATTTGAGAAATATCTTTACAACGTTGCTAAGCGTTATAGGCCAAATGTGTCACGAGCACGGTGTAGCACAGTATCACGAACAAATTCACTCAAACAAATATTTACCTCTCTTCGGCTTCCTTCATCCAACGTTCGAGCACCGGTTTGATTTTCTGCGCACTTTTTGGTGTTATATCCAATTTCTCAAATCTGTATCGAACACAAATTTAATGTTAGATTCTCACTATGCACGCACCGGTCAAACAAAACTCTATCGCGGTGATAATTGGTAAAGCCCGTGAGTGTTATAGATTTAACGCGCCCGATTTTTACCCAATCCAAATGAACATAGCGTAAACACAGGACATTGACATTGCGTTAACGATTTTAAACAGAGAAAAAAAACAATAGGCAATTTATTCTGCCGAGGTAATCAGTTTGATTAATACCGAACGAGGTAACAATAAAATGACGAATTCAATTAGAAACGAAAAGGTAACGTATGCCAATGCCCTGGCTTTGAATTGCGCAAAATGAATATTAATAAAAATAAGAGTAATGAAATAATACATCATGCTAGATTAGATGGAAAGCAAGAAATTATTCATCGAGATGTAACTACAATAAAAGTGATAAAATTCTCACAACAATTACTCATGGTGTCGAATAGACATAGTTTGGTTGCCGGTACATTAATGTGGCGCGGTTGTCTTAACATCAAAATGTAACAGTGGAGCGTATGATGCATGGCGCCTTTACAGTAATAATTCGTATGCAAATACCGTATACGTGTGAAAAGGAAAAGAAAGAACGTCAAAACTGGTAATTACAAATAATTATACGCGGCATACATTCGAAAAGAATGCACGGATCGCCGATCGCGATAAGATTACATTAAATAGCGTTGAAACATTTTGATTTAAAGACAATCTACATGTGGACTGGGCCGTCGAAAGTGAGTCAAAGCGTGTGCTTAATGCATGTAACTTAAGTACCACCAAATTTATCGTCTTACGAATATCTTTTGTAGTCATTTGTGTAGTAATTATTAAACAGTTATTATGACTTGTTAATATAATTGGCCGTTTTTTGAGAATGATAAATGTGGCGGTACATGGAGTAGGGGTAAAAAACAAAACACATACATGTTTTGTTGTTGTGACGACAGCTGAGCTGCTAGCATCTGCGAAGCCAGGGCACTGGGGACGGTAACAAATAATATGTTAGATTTGTCTTATCCAGTGAGAGGTGACATCCTCCAGGTTCTAGAGGGCATCACAATATTATTAATTCATTTATTTATTAATGATATAGAGCCGCACGCTTATTCGTCTAAACTTTTTGTTTTAATATCTTATCAAATTGTAAATGTTTGTTTTATATAATTCAAATTATTAGATCCATTTGGCATCAAATATAATCAAAAGTTTTGATAAATCGATTGGAGTTCATCGGAAATCCCAAACAAGATCCTATCCTGTTTGTTCTTAGTCATGACGTAAGTTACATGAAACATTAATCTGATGTGTTGACATGTAGCTCATATAAAATTATAATAGAGTGCAACCTGGGGGACATGGTTAATTCAATGTTTACCTTACATAAAGTGACAATGACCATGAGTAGGTATAGCCATAATTTTACGTTTTTGAAGGTAATGAATTGTAATCTATTTGTTACAATGTTAGACATTTCATGTACTTTACAAAGATTTTCTAAGAGTTCGCAATAATATTATATTATGATCATTGTTTCAACTTTCGCAAAGTTAAATTTCACTTGCCAAGATTGTTATACAATACAAGAAGAAATTCTGTTATCAACACGAAACAAAAGCTAGAGGTCCGTTTAAAAACGGGGGAATGTAAAATTAATTCTTTTCTGAAATAATATGTTTTAATTAAAATGCAAATTAATTAAGTCCAGTATAATCAAAGGGGTAACTACCATGTAGCGACGTCGCGACACCAAATTGGAGGGAGTCGAAAGAAAAATTAATGGAAAATGAAATCAGGACGGGACAAAGACAGGGGAATTCTACTCTTTTAATTACACGAAAAAAGTAATTACGGCAAGATAATTAATTAACTGGAACAGAAGTAACGATTAATGATTTTATTATACGAAGAAGGTCGTCGGGGTTGGTCCAATTGAAATTTTCTCCGGCCTGCGCCCGTCGTACTCCGCTTTACACGGAATACGATTTTTTTATCGATGTTACGAGTTACTCGATTAGATTCAATCGACTTTATGTACGTGAAGTGGTCCAACCGTAATAAATTTGCGATTTACGCAGGCCCATCCCACTAATTAAAAATTATACAGTTGTTCCAGGAGTTTTATGAATTTTATGGCACTTTGTGAATTATTCGAAACGTTGGACAGCGTTTGCCTGAAATACTTTCAACTGCAACGTTTTAAATGCTTTTCGAAAATTATGTTTGATGTATTAATATTCTTATTGAATAAATCATAATGAAGTTAAAAAATAATAGCGGTGAACAATACTCTTGACTCTGCTAGATTATGGAGTAGATCTGTAGAATGTGGAAGGAACATATGGGAGTTTGTCCTACACCGAGTTTGATTATATGGGTTTAACAATCTGGAAGGTTTCTATAAAGGATGCGAAATAAAAAACCGATTTTTAGATGCTGCCTATGTACTGACAGAGCACGCACTTAGCAAGGAAAGGGTAATTCTAATTTTATAAGTATAGCCTCAGTATTTTTAATTTTTATTTATAATGGACTGTATTAAATAAGTGGGTACATAAATATTTGTATACAGGTAAAAAAGTACAAATAATAATAAAATAAACTAAAATCGTAGTGCGTCGCCTACAGTTTCTTTATTACCAGTTGTCGTCACTTTGACCATTCATTTTAGGAATTATTCTGGTTCTTTAGTATTATTATTCTTCTGCTGTTAATTATCCTCATTTTGGATTTTATAATGTATAAAAACTGCGACCGTAATCTTTCTATAGTTCGCTAAGCGACTTTTAAATCTATTAACCCTATTTAATAAAACAAAACATACTTATATATTTTTCCAAGTAGTAATGCCAAATTGCTTTCTAACTTGATTGTTGTCTTCAAACGATATCCATCTATTTAATTATTGAACAATACAAAAATAGATAAAGGCAACTAGCTAGTAGAAAGCACGCGCCCGCGCCTAGCTAAGTAAAAAATGGTGTAAGCCACTGTCAGCGGAAGCCGTCCGAATGGTAATTAATTAACCGAATTGTGAGCAATGAAAGGAGTCATGCTGTTTTACAAATCACTCCAATTAACGATATTAAAAAATGCGATAACCGATCCGGTGCGTGAGCTTGCTTGAAATATTTGCTCCCTAGCTCAGTATTGTTGACAAGCGTGCGGCTTTATATATTGTCTTCTTTATTTTCTGTTACAATTATGGCTTATTACAGAGCCGGTGTCTCGATAGTATCAACAGGAACGAATGGAATATTTGTAATTTAAGTACTTTTTTCATTCTTAGCCGGATCAAATTAGGAAAAGATTTTCTAAATGGATCTGTGTTCTAGTTTATTTATCTTTTTACAGGACATATTAGTTTAAGAACTATTGATTTGGTTTAATTGTACAGTGAATATATCATAGATTACGTATGTTAACTATTATTTTTCGTAACTTTCCATTTTGATATTTATATTAAAATTGCACGGTATTCCTAAATCTAAGGGTTATTAGATAGATGTTTTATAATTATATGAGATTAAAATAGTTGTTTATTCAGGATGTTTAGATTAAGTAGAGGATTAAAAGTGTATAGTTCGTTAAATTTTCACTTATTTTTTTTATTTTTTTTTTTTTTTTTTTATTTTTTTATTTATTTACAGGATTACCAACATAAGATACAGCTACAATAAAGCTAAGTTTTAATACAATACAATGGCAGCTCAGATCTCACCGTTCTTACATTTATAGGCAACCACAGCATGCCTTGTGTTTGACAAACATTAAAATATAATTAAATTATTAAATGAGTAAAGATATTAACAATATGAATAATAATATAATATAAATAATGGAAATTGTATTCAAATTATTATAAAATATAAATAAATATAATGTAATGGGGAGGTATATCAACACTTTAATTTAGTCATGAATACAGAATGACTATCGCAGTGAATATCAAGTTCAGGCTTGGTTTTTACAATATCGTTATACAGACGCGTTATGCGGACGATAGGTGATTCGCGACCCAAGTTTGTTCGGCAAGCTGCATTTTTAAATAGATTACAAGGATGCCGCGGCACTCTAGCAGGTACATTGTAATCTAGTTTCCCCAGTAGAGGCAGGCAATCAATGTGATTATTCACTAACTTATGAAGATAAGACATGTCAAGGTAAGATCTGCGCAGGCATAGTTCATCAAGGTGAAAATGTTTAATTTTGTTTTTGTAGGTTTTCATATTTCTTGATATTTTAAAACGATAAGCTAGGCTACGAACGAATTTCCTCTGTATTCTCTCTATTCTGTCCTCATGTATCTTGTACATAGGTGACCACACCATACTGCAATATTCCAACTTGCTTCTGACATAGCTATTGTACAGTTGAATGACAGTGGATGGTTTCTTGAAACACCTTGTATTCCTAAGGATAAAACCCAATGATTTATTTGATTCATTTACAATTTTATCAATATGTTCCGAAAATCTTAGTTGACTGTCCATCAAAACCCCAAGATCTCGCACAACACTAACCTCTTGAAGCTGCTTACCCTCGATAAAATAATGCGATTGCAACTTCTTGAGTTTCCGTGTAAACTTTATGTGGTAACATTTTGAAGTATTTAAATACATTTTGTTATTATTACACCATTTGATTAAATAATCGATGTCCTTCTGAAAACATTCCACATCTGATGGTTTTGTTATTATCTTCATCATTTTAAAGTCATCAGCGAATAGGTATCCATTACTATGCTTAATATTTTGCATAATATCATTAATGAAGACATTGAAGAATAGAGGTCCTAAAATAGAGCCCTGAGGCACACCTGAGGAAGCCACAATGGAGGATGATTGAACACCGTCAAATACTACTCTCGAGGAACGGTTTCTAAGGTAAGATTTACACCATTCCAGCAAATTATCTCCTATTCCAAATGTTTGCAATTTTTTCACTAAGATATAGTGGTTTACCTTGTCAAAGGCTTTTGCAAAATCTGTGTAAACCACATCCACCTGAACATTTCGATCGACTGCTTCCTTTAACTCTGAGGTGAAAAGTATAAGGTTAGTATTTACTGATCTCCCTGCCATAAATCCGTGCTGAATATCTACTATGTTCTTTTTTATATGAGAGTACATAACTGAATGAACCATTGACTCAAACAACTTAGACATCGATGACAACAGAGATATTGGTCGATAATTAGATATGTTCTCCCTATTACCGCTCTTGAATATCGGTACTATGTTAGCCTTCTTCCATTCATCAGGAAATATGCCCGAACCGAGAGATTGATTGAAAATCATACTCAATGGAAGAGCCAATGTATCAGCGCACTTTACAAGAAATAGCGGGTGTATTTTATCTGGGCCTATAGCCTTTGTTGTGTCTAGTTTTTTAAGTTTACCTTTAACTTCCTCTGGCGTCAAATGAATGTAACCGATCATGTCGAGTACTTGAGAAGTCATCACAGGAGTGAAATTATTTCCACAATTATCCTCCTCCTCATACACCGAAGAAAAGTGACTCGCAAACATACATGAAATTTTGTCAGCATCAGAAGAAGTATTATTATTCAAGGTCATTGTGTTTGGATACGATGAACTATTTCTACGCATACCCTTCACATGTGTCCAGAATTTTTTGGGATTATTTTTTAACTCATTTTCCATTTCATTAATATATCTATTATAGCATTCTTTTATTAATTTATTACAGTCACCTCTCAAATAATCATATTCTATTTTATCAAGTGAATTATTATATTTTTTTATTCTTCTGTGGTATTTATTTTTTTGTTTAAGTAAATATATTAAGTGTGATGAAAACCACACAGGGTATGAATTTTTTCGTGTTTTGGTTATAGGGATGTAAGAATTAATAGTGTCTTGTAATAAATCATAAAATTTCGACAACATCTCATTAACATCATTGCAGGAGTCAAAGTGTTCAGTCCAGGGTATCGACTTGAGACATAAGTTAATTGCATTATAGTCGCCCTTATAGAAATTAAGCCTGGTGGGTATAGATATTTTTTTACTTTTTGTTGGGATTTTTATTTTAATTTTTAATGCTGGATGATATTTGTCTATATTTCTTACAGGATTTGAGCACTCAGAGACCTCCACAATTTCCTTATTGCACAGTAACAGGTCCAGCACTTTATTTTGTACATTAGTGATAGAGTTAAATTGTTTAAGGTCATTAAGTGTAAGAAAATCTACAAACTTGCACAAGAGCTCACGATCGCCGTAGCCTGAAGGAACCGTGTAGCCTAAATCAGTGTCACTGTATATTGGATTCCAGATGATACCACTCATATTAAAGTCGCCCGCAATTAGAGTATACTCCCATTCTATACATGATTCCAAGATTCTATTGGCTTTATCAATAAAAATCTTTAAAATATTTCTGGTAACTGGTGGTGGCAAGTATACAGCACATATTCTTATAGAACTTGATTTTTTACCCGGTTTAATAGAACTTGTAATTGAGACCCAAAGATCTTCGCATTCGCTTTCCCACTCTGAAACACGCACAGAAGTCAGTCTATTAGATACCGCTACCAACACACCACCTCCCCTCACTGAACCAGACAGAGGAGACGTCTCGCGATCGCGCCTATACACGACATATCTATTATCAAAAACCTCAGAATCAAAGAATCCACTGCTAAGCCAAGTCTCTGTAAATACATATACATCATAATTGTTGCCTAGTATTTGTTGACGTACCTCGTCCGCATATGAATTTAATCCTCGCACATTTTGATAGTAGATAGACAAATCAGATGACATACAAATATGAATATAGAAATGTCAAAAATAATAATAACAATAAAAAAAAAAATATGATGAAAACAAACGTCATGCATGCAAGAGAGAAAAAAAAAGCAATGTCCGCGATAGTGGCACATGAAAATTAGCATTCAATTTAGTTGAGACAAATCATCAATATTCTTAATTACGATATATTCTGACGTTTCTGTTTTACGCATAAATACCCTTCCGCCCTTAACCCATACAAATCTATAGTTCAACTCCTTAGCTTTACTGCGTGCAGCTGCGTGAATAGCCTTCTGTGTAGGTGACAAATGTTCCACTACAAAAATTGGTTTTCTGTCACCACTTATACCAATATGGCTGGTGTTGAGTTTATCATTCACGTTTTTTGCCTTTTTGTTAAAATTTATTGAGGCTGCTAAAAAATTATCTCTTAATCTCGGTGAGGCAAACTTCAAGATAACAGACCTAGGTCTTGGACTTTTGCTATTTAGCTTAGCAACTCTTGTGCATAGAAGAATATCTGAATCATTTACTTTACAATTGGTAATATTAGCAATTTGCTTAACAACTGTGAATAAATTTTCCGACTTATATTCTGGTATATTTTGTATTTCTAAATTACTGGCACGAGAATGCTGTTCTATGCGAATAATTCTTGAATTTAAATCGCAGATAGTGTTTTTTAGGATTGTGTTTTCAGATTCCAGCTCACTAATTCGCGTAGAGTTCACTTTCACATCATTGTTAATGATTTCCTGCTGATTTTGGATTTCAGTTAAAGAATCTGATATCAGATTGAAGCTGTCAAGCAATTCTTTTATTTTAAAATCAAACTGCTGAATCAAATTTATTTTGAATTGTTCCAGAATGTCGCTTAGTTCCTCTCTGACTGCCTGTCGAATGTTGTCTATTGCTACCCCGGACGTAGATGAAGGCACTACCTGACCTCCTCGTCTAGTGTTGATATTTAATGTAGATTCGCAGCCTTGCTGGGCTAAACTAATAGATCTTATAGGTGTATTTGTATTGTCCAATTTAGGCAATTTACTTGAGCAACCTGGACACATCCACTTCGCCCTGTCCTCCTCAGATATATCCTTTAATACTTTATTAACATTCAAACATGATAAATGATATTTCAGTTTGCAGTATTGACAATTAAGAGTGCCAGTTGATGACGTTGATCGATCACAACAGCCCAGCTTTATTCTTGCTTGAGACATAGTATTCAACTGTTTATTTATATGTGCCACTTATTCAGTTTCTGCTCGTTTTACTATTATTGTTTTGGTTTAATGAAGAAATGAATTAGGACAAAAAGTGCACTGCTCCGCTGAGGAGCGAACCACGAACTCTTAGTTCGTTTTTGAAAGTAGCAGTAAGCGAAACTGTACCAACACACTTATCGTTTCAAGTAACGAAAATAAGAATCTATTGATAAAGCAGGTTTGTATTATTAACGGTTAAGAATTTTGTTTTTTTTATTACCGATCTACCGTCACTCACTCAAAAAAAAAGTACAAGCCAATGTTTCTATTTCTATATCCCTATTCAAATTTAAGTCTTTTTATCTTGTTTCACTAATTTTTAAGCACTAAATGTAGTTATGTTCACTTAGAAGATAGATATGTATCACTAAAAAATCACCAGATGAATTCGTTTTTAGAATATATTATTTGCTTATAGATTTACAATAAATGTGATTCCAGTCTAGATAACACAGTCAGCAAACACTAAACCAAATATATACACAGTTAGCTTGGTTTCGCTGCCCTCGGTGTGATAAATTAATTTTAAAGAACAAAAAATACGGAGCTAATGTTTATCGTGACAGCAGTGTCTGACGTATCTGATTCTATTATAGAATTAATCAGCTTAAATCATTCTAATATTTTAAAGCTTTTAAAGGAAATTAGTCAATGAAATAGTGATTAAATATAAATTGTAATATTCTAATAACATTATTTGGATAACCTTTAAAAATAAAGACATTTTCAGAATTTATTTTATTACTAGCACCTAGAAAATATAAATAATATAATTCTGCCAGCATCTTTTCTTTTTCTTTTTTTACAAGTTTTATGAAGTTTGTTAGTGTTCATTTCTTTTTCTATTTATTAAAATATTTAAAATATATCAAGACACCGACTCTGGGTTTAGTATTTAAAGTAAAATTATCAAACTATTTTATGTAAATCGACTGTTCCATAATACATGTTCCATTTAATGATTTCGCAGATTATAAGTCATAATCATGAAAAGTAAGAAAGTTTACCTGCATATCGCGCTTTGGCTGTACGCTGGTCCTTCTGTGACGGATAACGCTTGGCCGACTTGGGTTTGCGTAAGGCCCAGACCAAGACGTCTAAGCTTGAATGCCTTCGCGAATTCCTTGATGTCTTCTAGGTTGATGCCATCGACCACGTTGCTTGATGATTGACTAATAGTTGGTTGATCTGTTTGGAAAATAAGTCATTTAAACTCTATGTAATACTGCATAGGTTCCAATTTTTGTTGAGGAATCGTTTTAAAATATTCAACAGGATATAAAGTAGAATATAGCAGAATATAAGGTTTTCTGTTGTGCCAGTAGATGTTCCTTGCCTAATCCCTGATTATGTAGCATTTAATACTACTATTAATATTAAAAAGTATATAAAATTTCATTTCGCTCAACCATTTGTTTATTGTGTTTAACTAATTAAAAATATCTTCAAAATTAGATAAGACGATTACAAAAATTATTTTGATATATTTGGCATACTTTGAATAATCAGTGAGCCAGCTGAATTTATCGAATAATGTATTAATGATGGCAAGTTATTATCATAGTCTTAGGAAGTAAAATTTAACTCTGGAAAACTCTTTGGAATCAACTTCCAGCAGCAGTATTTCCGAACCGATACAACAACATAACCTTCAAGAAAAGAGTATATTCCCTTTTAAATGCACCTGAAATCCACATCCGAATCTACATCTGCAATGTCGTTGGTATTGTGAGTGATCATGGGCGATGGTAGTCACTTATCATCAGATGAGCCACATGCTCGTTTGCCCCCAGTGTTGTAAAAAAAAATATATAACGTCAAAACTTAGATGGTAAATAAAAAAAACTTCAGCTTTTAGTGTACTGAACGCTACTATGCTGGAGCTTTGAATTCAGTTTCAGATAAGTTGGACAGATGGTGATAAGACTTAAGTACTAAAATTTACCATAAACTATTCCTTTGATATACTTATTGGTACTCCTTACATTGGTAGATGGTCTACCAAAGTCGTTATTTTCATTTGGCTGTTATTCTGAAAACTATCAATTTGCTTATTGATGAGATAATAGGACCCATATCAGGTTTATTTTAAGCTTTTAGAAATGATAATTTTCCTTCAGATAAACTGTTAACTCTTTTATGATTTCCTGTAGACAAGTTCATACACAGTGGACAATTTTAGTTTTTCTTTTTTATTATTGATATGCATATCAATATATACTAAAGTCAAGGGTTTCATATTCTGCAATAAAACTAAAAATAGTTATTCGTAGAAATTATAATTGTCATTTAAATTTATTATAACTTAACCTATTGCAAACATAGAATGCCTCTCATCCCATTACAGCATTTAAGCTTACAGTAAAATTATAGTCAAGTTTAGTGGGCAATTTATGTAATTAGTAGATGGTGGCGGCTCCTAATTATGTGGGATGTCATTAGTGGAGCCGTCTTGCCTCCGCCAAGGTTGGGCCGCGACTGCGCTTCCCTCCCCGCTAACCGATGACAAATTACTTTCGCTACCTACCCGCGCTAGTTCAAGCGGTAGTCTGCATCAATTAAGACAGGGTAGGGTTGGTAAATTGGCAATCGTTCCTCCATTTACCGGTATTCGAAACGCAGACGACTTCTAATTTCGTTTGTTATCAACCAATAAGTTAGTGTTTGGGAAATTTTGTTCTTACCGTAATTAGTTTACGTATGTGGGGTGATTTGGAGATGGGGAGGTAATTGCATATCGTATTCTATTATTACAAATTGTTTTCTTTGATGTAGGTAGATTGTTTTGTTTAGTACATTAGTGTGTTTGTATGTACATATATTGAAAGTAATGTCATTGTATATATATAATACCAATTTCAAAATGAAGGAAGTTTTTTGTTTTTGTATATTTTATGCCATATCATCGAAACATCAGGATTCTTCGATTTAGAAAAGTAATAAAGCGGAAGTTTGTTTGAACGCGCTAATCTTCAAAAGTTCTAGTCGAATTTGAAAATTCTTTATGCATTTGATAGCTCGTATTTTGCGGAAGGTTATAGAGTATTTAACATCAAGGTACGACCACGAACGAAGGGTGAGTTGTTTATTTACATTTTAATACAAAGATGCAAATATAAATTCAATTTCTAACTACTATATTATACTACTAATATTATAAATGTGAAAGATTGTAAAGATATTTGGATGTTAGATACTAAATACCTAATGTTTAAAAAGATAAAAAGATTTAAATGAAATTTGCTGCACGGGTAGGTTAACCTAATTGAACATACAGGATATTTTGTATACATGCATGTATTTTGTATTTTGCACATGAATACAGCCACGGGAAACAGTAACTAATATTGTTGACTATTCAACAAAGTGTTAGCAAATTAAGAAACTCGTAAAACGCGATCAGAGGCACTTTAATTTTTTCAACAACAGTCTGCTTTCGACGTCCAATTAGAGAACATCGCGTGATGAGAACGCACCCATTAATTAGCTTTCAAAGATAAGTCAATTGGCTAAACATTCGTAACTATGGCGTCCAAATTCAATAACAATAATGCATCAAGATACCACACGGTTAATTGTTTAATACATGTAATAAATTAATTAGATACAATTAAAGTTCGCGTGTCGGTGTGTATGCACGTTTATTGACCTGCGTTACGTGTGAGCGGAGCATTTTAGATATAGTTCTCTAATTTGTGACGGTTATTAAGGATTTTCAACTGTTAGCCACTCGTACCGAATTTCTTACGACATAACAACATTTTTCTATAAGAATATTATTGTCTGGATGTTATATTTTATGAGTATACAAAATTTTTAATGTACGCGGTAATTATTTCTGTTTCCATGTTATAGAAGGAGTTCATTATCCCCATTTTAATGATACGTTCCTCCAAACGTTACTCTAAAGAATTGGGTATTATGATATTGAGATATTTTCTAATCGTTATTGGTAAAAGATACATTTGTTCGATTTATTTTCAAATGTTTTAACGTTATACGTATATGATCTGTTAGGGTTAAAACAGAACATACTTAATAGTACCACACTTGTGTCAGTTCGAACAAAAAAACGTTCGTAAGATATCTGTGCAACCATTTATTTACAGTGTAAAATTTTCAGTTCATTGAATTTAAGATTTTGTACTGTAAAGTAGCTAAGTCTTCTAAGATACACATCGACGTCATTATTTCGAACAGAGACATATCAAAATAGGTGTTCAATATTTATATCATCATCATCATCAGCAATATCAGCTTTTAACTGTCTATTGCTGAACATAGGCCTCTCCTATTGGGGGGTTTTATCAGTAGTTGCCACACTTGGCAGACGGATTGGCAACCACAGTCAGGCTTTGGTGATGTTTTAAGAGGGATGCTGCTGCCCATTCCACGAACATTAAATTCCCTTAGTCGCCTCTTACGACACCCATAGGAAAGGAAAGGGTGATCAATATGCCGCAAAGCAGTTGTGTTTACATGGCTGTGTTTCGGTTTGAAGGGAATAACACCTAAGTCCTCAGGAATGGCAATGCATGGGGAGTCTTATGGGCGAAACAGTATACTCTGTTATGCCCATGGTACTGCTCATGTCTATAGACGACGGTTACCATTTTCCATCAGATGGCCGACAGCTTGTTTGCCATTCAAGTTGCATAAAAAAATGCCAGCAGTACACAGCGATCAATATTCATATATTTTATTATATTTATAGTTAAAGATGATCACATATATACATTTTCCAGTTTTGTCATTACAAAAGGAATGTTGACTTTTAATAACGTAGTGATTATTTGATCTTAAGAAGAAAGATATCTAAAGAATCAGTATAGATAAATAGTTCGAGAGAAGTTTCACAGATCTACTAATCACAGAGATTAAATCATATTTTAGACAATAAGATGGTAATTTAAATATAGGAAGACATGGCACACCCACAGACAGACTGATTTCTTCATTTAAATACAACTCGACAAAAACAAATTGTAAACTTTGTAGCATGTTAAATAGAAACTTCATTTTCAAACTTATGTTGTGTAAACGGAATCAATAAATAATAAGTTATTACCATTATACCCATTTATTATATTATTAATATAGTTGTATATAAGTATATCACATCATATCAACTGTTAATTGTCCACTGCTGAATGTAGGCTTCCCTCTATTGGGGGGTTTTGCTAGTAATTGCCATGTTTGGCAACCGCAATTAGGCTTTGGTGATGTTTTAAGAAGGACGCTACTGTTTATTCTCGACTACTAAGTTCCCTTAGTCGCTTCTTACGACACTCACGGGAAAGAAAAGGATGGCCTAATATATGCCGGGACCACTCAAGTCAAGTTATAAGTATATAAATCCAAAATTATTATTGATGACTTTGATTATTTTACCAATATAAGCATAATATTTTTATATTTTTTCATTATATAAATTTCTCTTACTTAGTTATTTCAAATTGTTTCCTCTCGAGAATGATACCGCGCTAATATCAGTTTTGCGTTACCGAATGCCGACTAATGCCAAACTCACATGCCAACTCCATGAATATTTTAAAAGCGAAAAATTCGACAGAATAATCGTAGCGAGCCGTTATTTCGACATTTTACATTCAACGCTTCATTATTCTTAATTAAAGTTTTCGAGTGATTAGGTGAATCATATATACTTTGATGAAATTACATTCGTTCCCCACCTAAAAAGCTTTTATGTAAAACAATTCTTTTCACTGATGACGCAAGGAACAAAATTGAACGACTATTCAATTTTCAGAACGCAAATTTAAAATTTGTTAACAGATGTAATGGGTGAAATTACGCGCGCCGAATCAACTCGATTCATGTTACGATTACAATATAGATTCGAATACGTTATCGATTATAATTAACGTGTATTATTAACGTAACAGTTTTAAGTACTTTGTACAAGTTTCTTTAAGAATTTAAGCGGTGCTCGGTAAAAGTTTAGTCTTTTCCTTAGAATTATCGAGGGCTTTTGATTTGCTTGTCTGTAATTAAAAGCCCGTTATATTCAACTTAAGATTACTCGGTAATAAAAAAATGGATATCAATTGGTAATTGATATGTATATAACGGGTCACAAAGTTAAGCGATACTTATTTATTTAAAAGAGGAGCAAGTTGTTTAATAGGTAAGACTTCTTCGTTTAAGAAATGGAAAGGGGAGTATAG